AGTTTTAAGTGAACTTTTTCACTTTGTTCTTTCACTTTCATCAAGAGGCTCTTTAGTTCTTCGCTTTCTGCCATTAGGGTGGTGTCATCTGCACATCTGAGGTTATTGATATTTCTCTTGGCAATCTTGATTCCAGCTTGTGTTTCATCCAGCCCAGTGTTTCTCATGATGTACTCTGCATATAAATGAAATAAGCATTTCTTCTAAGGGATTCCTGCCCACAGTAGTAGATATAATGGTCATCTGAGTTAAATTCACCCATTCCAGTCCATCTTAGTTCACTGATTCCTAGAATGTCAACATTTACTCTTGCCATCTCCTGTTTGACCACTTCTAATTTGCCTTGATTCATGGACCTAACATTCCAGGTTCCTATGCAGTATTGCTCTTTACAGCATCGGACCTTGCTTCTGTCTCCAGTCACATCCACAACTGTGTGTTGTTTTTGCTTTGGCTCCCTCCCTTCATTCTTTCTGGAGTTATTTCTCCACTGATCTCCAGTAGTATCCTGGGGACCTCCTGACCTGGGGAGTTCATCTTTCAGTGTCCTATCTTTTTGACTTTTCATACTCTTCATGGGGTTCTCAAGAAAGAATACTGAAGTGATTTGCCATTCCCTTCTCCCATGGGCCATGTTTCATCAGAACTCTTCACCGTGACCCATCTGTCTTGGGTTGTGCTACAGGGCATGACTCATAGTTTCATTGAGTTAGACAAGGCTGTGGTCCATGTGGTCAGATTGTTTAGTTTTTGGTGATTGTGGTTTTCAGTCTGTTTTCCCCCTAAAGGAGAATAAGAGGCTTATTGAAGCTTTCTGATGGGAGAGACTGACTGAGGGGGAAACTGGGTTTTGTTCTTATGGGCGGGGCCATGCTCAGTAAATCTTTAATCCAGTTTTCTGTTGAAGGGCGGGGTTGTGTTCCCTCCCTGTTAATTGACCTGAGGCCAAACTTCAGTGGAGGTAATAAAGATAATGGTGACCTCCTTCATGCCTGCACTGCTATACTCAGTGTCCGCAACCTTGCAGCAGGCCATCGCTGACCCACGCCTCTGTGGGAGACTCCTGGACACTCATGGGCAAGTCTGGGTCAATCTCTTGTGGGGTCACTGCTCCTTTTATTAGTTTACTTATTAGGTAAATGTTAGTTTACATATTTATAAAATGGAATGTAATATTAGGTGTTTATTAGTACTGTGTGACAACTACTTGTTTTAATAATATAATATGACTTGAAGTGCAGGTTTATTTAAAATATGACTGTGACTTCCAGGCGGTGCTAGTGGTAAAGAACCCACCTGCCAATGAAGGAGACTTGAGAGGCGGGTTCGATCCCTGGGATGGAAGGATCCCCTAGAGGAGGGCATGACAACCCACTCCAGTATCCTTGCCTGGAGAATGCCTTGGATGGAGGATCCTGGCAGGCTACAGTCCATAGGGTTGCAGAGAGTCACGCACCACAGTCATAGGTCACCATGAAGTGACCTAGCATGCACTCTTTGTGGCTGTTTTTAAGTGTGAAAGGTGAATAACTTCAAGTTCAGAAATGACTTGCCCAAGGTTTTGTAGCTAAATAAATATGTGGATCTTCTGGAGCCCAGTTGTGTTGATCTTTCTGAACTATTTAGAAGACATTACAAGTTCTATGTTAGATAATTATTTTAATCTGTTATTGTTGAATAATATGTACCTGCTCTGTGAAATTGTGAGTTGTTTCCTTAAAAAAAAGCATTTAACAATATTAACTTTTTACTTCTGTTAACTGTTTTAGAAAATGTAAGTGAATGTTTTACATTTTGTAAGTGTAAATATTTGAAGAAAGTATTTATCATGAAGCAAGATCATGCTTGGTTGCAATTAAGTAATGTGGCATCACTGATTTTTTTTTTTTTTTGGTATTACACATTAAGGTTCAAATGCAGGTATCTCTGCCTTTTAGGCCTTAAATTCTAGGAGTTGTTTGGGTTACTTCAGTACTTGTTTCCATAACATTTGTTTTTTAAACAACAGTAATAATTTATTTAGTGACAGATTGGCTGTTTGTGAAGGTGTGGTGAGGAAGGCTTATGTCTTCTTTTCAAAACTAAGAAAAATTTTTGCTGAGGTGTAGTTGATGTACAACGTGCTATTAGTTTCAGATGTACAGCGTGCTATTAGTTTCAAGTGTACAAAAGAGTGGTTTAAAATCTGTATATATTGTGAAATGACCACCCCAGTAAGTCTTGTTCTCCTCTGTCACCATATGTCATTACAGAATTTTTTTCTTGTCATGAGAAATTCTAAGATCTCTCTTAGTAACTTTTATATATGCAGTATAGTGTTATTAACACAGTCACCTTGCTGAACATCACATTTTCATGATTTACTTTATAATTGGAAGCTTGTATATTTTAACTCCTTTCACCCATATTTTTGTTTCTGTAACTTTTTATGGGCAAACCCATTTCAATAGAAAAGTTAGTAGTAAACCATAATTCTTAAAACTTATTTATACCTTAATTTATAAGCACAGAACAAACAAAACCTTTCTGTTTCTATTTTGAAATACTGTGTATTTTGGTGGAAAAATTTAGAAAGAGAGACGAGTGATACTGTACTTTTTTTTTTCCACACCTGCAAACAGTATAGGTTATATCAATCAGAACCATACTGTATACCCAGATACATATTTCTGTTTTATCCCTGAACATTCTACTAAGAATGTGTCATTGGCTATTTTTCAAAAATAGCATTTGGTATTACACATTAAGCTTTGTGTATATCACAAAGGTTTGTGTAATATCAAACCACATTTGATATTAGTGGTTGTATGATAGTCTGTCATTTAATTTATTTAGCCATTATTTCATTGTTGGACATAAAGATTTTTAATTTTTACTGTTAAAAATACTATAATTACCTAATAAACATTTTCATTTCCATACCATAAGTTTTTAAAGTAGAATAGTTGAACAAAAGGATGTGAACTTATATAAAGCCTTTGATAGCTACTGCCAAAATTTTCATGCAGAAAAGTTATACCTAAATATAGCCTCTATTTCGTCAGTTGTATGTGTTTTCATTATTTTTTAATTCTTAAATTTTAATTCAAACTAATTTTAGACTTACAGGGAAAGTAATACTATATACCCCTAACCTAGTTTCCTGTACTGATGTCATCTTACTTAACATAACTAAATTGCAGATCTTACTCAGTTTTATCAGTTTTTTCATTAATGTCTTTTTTTAATTCCCAGGATTCTATTTAGGATCACACCTTACAGTTTGTTATTTCTTGTTAGTCTCCTCATATTTTTCTACAATTGCTTATTCTTTGTCTATTATGAGCTTGATATTTTTTAGTAAAGTGGCAGTTATTTTGTACTGTTTAACTGCCATTGTCTTTATTTGCATTTCTTTGACTGAGTTGAAGAAAATAGTTTTTGTATGTATTGGTCATTGTTTTTTGTTTTTGAAGTGCCTCAGTTTATGTCCTTTGCCCATTTTTCTCTTAAAGTGATTTTTTTCTGTTTTAACCTTTAAGTCTTGTTAATCTGAGAGCTTTTACTTGCTGTATGTTATGACCCATAGAATGGTCCAAAAATCACTCTAATGAGAGCTCTTCAGTGATGATCTTTATATACATAGCATTGGGATCTATTTTGTGTGTGTGTGTATCAGTGTATTTAATATATAATAATTTTGGAGTACATATATATGCCTAAATTATATTGACCATATTTTTCATGATTATTTATACTAAATAATCTATTTAGCATTATATACTATTACATACCCTATGTGTTTGTGCTAACATATAAATTTGTACTACCTTATGTTTGACTATGTTATGATTCTTTTCATACTTTTCACTCTTCTTTTCTTGATATCTTCCTGCTGAGACCACCCTTTGCCCTGATGAAGGGCTGAAGCTTTCCTTGAGCTCTAAGGCCTCAAGAAATGGAGCAGATGTCCCAGATCATTCCTATAAACAGCTTCCATTCTAAACCCTGTGTGCCTAGCTTTCTTACTTGTTCATCCTGCTGACAGTTTGTATATTTACCCTATGAGATGGGAGATTGCCTGACCCAGCTTGACTTCGCATAGTATGGTGGGAAGAGTGGGGGGTTCTCTTCTTGAGACTTGGCTTATAAATTTTGCCAATAAAAATGATTCCAAAACTAGTACCATGTGATATGTTCATCCCTAATATTGATGCACCATACTGCAGAGTAGTTCCTAGTTTGTTTGCCCTGATATTTTATCTGTGGGGTTTATAGAGGAATAGAAGCTTTTAAAATTGTACTTATGTCAGTATGTTTACTTATTTTTTCCTTGCTTTTACCCAAAGATTTTGATAACTTCTGTTATTTGCTCTTTGATAGGAATTATGCATTTTTAGTGACTCTGAAGTATATCAGTCTTACTGATTTAAAATGGGCTTGTATGTTTCTTTGACCTTGAAAAAAATCAGGCTGGAATTTTTCCCTAATTTTAGCTGGCTAGTCAGGGATAAGCCAACCCTCAGTAATAACCAGAGAAAGCAATGGCGCCCCACTTCAGTACTCTTGCCTGGAAAATCCCACGGACGGAGGAGCCTGGTAGGCTGCAGTCCATGGGGTCACTAAGAGTCAGACACGACTGAGCAACTTCACTTTCACTTTTTACTTTCCTGCATTGGAGAAGGAAATGGCAACCCACTCCAGTGTTCTTGCCTGGAGAATCCCAGGGACGGAGGAGCCTGGTGGGCTGCCATCTATGGGGTTGAACAGAGTCGGACACGACTGAAGCGACTTAGCAGCAGCAGCAGTAATAACTTGCTTTCAGTTTTAGTAGATAATAATTTCAGCATAATAGTAATAATTGCCTTGTGTTTTTTAACTCATTAGTAATGGAATCATTAAAGGTTATCCTTATAATATTGGTATACAATTACATTTCCCTTTACAAAAGTTTGTGAAGCAAAATAATTATAACTTTGTTTGACTACGTGTAATGTTCTTCCTTTGAAATATTTTAACAGGGTTATGTAATGAACTCATCACGAGTTGTTTCTAATAATTCTTCAGAGTTACTGTTTGACTTGACCCAAGATTCAGGATTACCACATTACCAAGGAGGACCAGCAGTTTCTATAACAGGTTGGTTTCAGCACTTTTTCAAAAAATTAGAAAAACAAAACTTGGTGAATATGCATATGAAATTGACTTTCTGTTTTGAGGTCCATGCCTTCATGTTAAGTTTTTCACATACTGTAAGGTATAATGGCACTAATAGTTCTTGAATGCCATTTTGAAATCTTATTTAGTAATAGAATGTTACATTTCTTCCTGTTAATTAAGTATGTTAAGCAACTTTGACCTTGTTCTCACTTGGCATTAAACATGGGCTAAAAAAAAGTTTTTATTTTATTTATTTATTTATTTTTTGCTGTTATTTTATTTTTACTTTGTTTTATTGGAGTATAGGTGATTTACAATGTTATGTTAGTTTCAGGTGTATAACAGCTTGATTCAGTTATACGTTATATATAGTCATTCTTTTTTAGATTCAATATAGGTTATCACACATTATTGAGTAAAATTCTCTGTGCTATACAGTAGGTCCTTGTTGGTTATCTGTTGTATATATAATAGTGTATATGTGTTCATCCCAAGCTCCTGGTTTATTTCTCTGTCCCCACATTCCCTTTTGGTAGCCATTAGTTTGTTTTCAGTATCTGTAAGTCTGTTTCTGTTTTGTGAATAAATTTATTTGTATCTTTTTAAAAAATTATATTCCACATGAGTGATATTTTATATTTGTCTTTGGCTGACTTACTTCACTTAACATGATAATTTCTAGGTCCATTCATGTTGCTGTAAATGGCATTTTTTGTTCTTTTTATGGCTACTATTCAGTTGTATATATGTACCACATCTTCTTTATCCATTCCTCTGTAGATGGACATTTAGGTTGCTTCGATGTCTTGATTATAATAAATAGTGCTGCAGTGAACATTCGCGTGCATATATTTATTTGAAGTATTGTTTTCTCCAGTAATATGCCCAGGAGTGGGGTTACTGGATCTTATGGTAGCTCCGTTTTTAGTTTTTTAAGGAACCTCCATACTGTTCTCCATAATGGTTGTACCAGTTTACATTCCCACCAACAGTGCAGGAGGGTTCTCGTCACACCTTCTCTAGCATTTATTGTTTGTAGACTTTTTGATGATGGCCTTTCTGATTGGTGTGAGGTGATACCTCTTTGTCGTTTTGATTTGTACTTCTCTGATAATTTGTGATGTTGATAAATCCCTGGTTGGTTGGTTTGTTTACAAATATTTTCTCCCATTCTGTTGGTTACCTTTTCATGTTGTTTATGGTTTCCTTTGCTGGACAGAAGCTTTTAAGTCATAAGGTCCCACTGTGTTTTGTTTGTTTGTTTTCATTACCAAAGGAAGTGGATCAAAAAAAACATTGCTGTAAATTACGTCAAAGAGTGTTCTGCCTATGTTTTCCTCTGAGTTTTATGCTGTCCGGCCTTTCATTTAGGTCTTTGATCCATTTTGAGTTTATTTTTGCATGTGGTGTTAGAGAATGTTCTAATTTCATTGTTTTACATATAGCTGTCCAGTTTTCCCAGCATTATTTACTGAAGAAATTGTCTTTTCTCCATTGTCTATTCTTGCTTCCTTTTTTGTATATTAATTGAAAATAGGTATGTGGGTTTATTTCTGGACTTTGTATCCGGTTTCATTGATCTATAGTTCTGTTTTTGTGAAAATTCTTAAAGTAATTTCTTTAAGTTAAGGAAGTTTTCTGATACTCTAAATACTATGTAAAAAGAAATATTTGTTAGGTTCTGTAGCCACTAGTATGGAAGAGTGTATGATTATAGTTAATAATTTCTCAATTAGGTTAGTATGTTTATATTCAATAAATGATTTAGATATAAAATATGATTATAGAGTGCCATTATAAAGTGGCTGCACTAAATTCTTCTATAGTCAGTACTCACTAAATGCCCATTAAAGGAGTAATGAAGTTTCCCTGTTGAAGCAGAGTTACCTTTATTTTATACTATGATAAAAGTGTCCAATATGCTACTGGGTAAAAGTAGAGGGCAATTACTTATAACTCCAGAAAGAATGAAGTGGCTGGGCCAAAGCAGAAACGAGGCTCAGTTGTGGTTATATCTGGTGGTGACAGTGAAGTCTGATGCTGTAAAGGACAATATTGCATAGGAACCTGAAATGTGAGGTCTGTGAATCAAGGTAAGTTCAGTCAGTTAAGTTCAGTCACTCAGTCGTGTCTGATTCTTTGTGACTGTATGAATTGCAACATTTCATAGAGCTTGCTCAAACTCATGTCCATTGAGTCAATGATGCCATCCAACCATCTCATCCTCTGTCGTCCCCCTTTTCTTCCTGCCTTCACTCTTTCCCAGCATCAGGGTCTTTTCCACTGAATCAGTTCTTCCCATCAGGTGGCCAAAATATTGAAGCTTCAGATTCAGCATCAGCCCTTGCAATGAATATTCAGGACTGATTTCCTTTAGGATGGACTGGTTGGATCTCCTTGCAGTCCAAGGGACTCTCAAGAGTCTTTTCCAACATCACAGTTCAAAAGCTTCAGTTCTTTGGCACTTAGCTTTCTTTATGCTCCAATTCTCCCATCCACATATGACTGCTGGAAAAACCATGGTTTTGACTAGACGGACCTTTGTCGGCAAAGTATTATCTCTGCTTTTTAATATGCTGTCCAGGTTTGTCATAGCTTTTCTTCCAAGGAGCAAGCGTCTATTGATTTCATGGCTGCTGTCACCATCTGCAGTGATTTTGGAGCCCAAGAAAATAAAGTCTGTCCCTGTCTCCATTGTTTCAGGGTAAATTAAATGTGTTCACGCAGAACATGGCAAGAGTGAACATTGACATATTAGGAATCAGTGAACTAAAATGGATAGGAACGGGCAAATTTAATTCAGATGACCATTATAACTACTACTGCGGGCAAGAATCCCTTAGAAGAAATGGAGTAGCCCTCATAGTCAACAAAAGAGTCTGAAATGTAGCATGTGGGTGCAGTCTTCAAAACAGCAGAATGATCTTGGTTTGGTTCCAGGGCAAGCCATTCAGCATCACAGTAATCCAAGCCTATGCCCCAATCACTGATGCCAGCGAAGCTGAAGTTGACCAGTTCTATGAAGACCTACTTCTAGAACTAACTCCAAAAAAAGGTGTCCTTTTCATCATAGAGGATTGGAATGCAAAAATAGGAAGTCAAGAGACACCTGGAGTGACAGGCAAGTTTGGCCTGAGAGTACAAAATGAAGCAGGGCAAAGGCTAACAGAGTGTCAAGAGAACATACTGGTCATAACAAACAAATTTTCCAGCAACCCAAGAGATGACTCTACATGTGGACATCACCAGATAGTCAATATTGAAATCAGATTGATTATGTTCTTTGCAGCCAAAGATAGAGAAACTGTATACAGTCAGCAAAAACAAGACTTGGAGCTGACTGTGACTTAGGTCATGAGCTTCTTATTGCAAAATTCAGGCTTAAATTGAAGAAAGTAGGGAAAACAACTAGGCCATTCAGGTTTTGGGAATTCCCAAGTAGCACTAGTGGTAAAGAACCTGCCTGCCAATGAAGGAGACATAAGAGGCACAGGTTCGATCCCTGGGAAGACCTCTGGAGGAGGAAATGGCAGCCCACTCCAGAATTCTTGTCTGGATCAACTCCCTTATGATTATACAGCAGAGGTGATGAGTAGATTCAAGGGATTAGATTTGATGGAGGGTGCCTGAAGAACTATGGGCGAAGGTTCATAGCATTGTACAGGTGGCAGTTTACCAAAACTGTCACAAAGAAAAAGAGATGGAAGAAGGCACAGTGGTTGTCTGAGGAGGCTTAACAGATATCTGAGGAAAGAAGAGAAGCGACAGTTAAAGATATACTGCAGTGAAAGCAGAGTTCCAGAAAACAGCAAGGAGAGACAAGAAGACCTTCTTAAATGAACAATGCAAAGAAATAGAGGAAAACTATAGGGAAAGACCAGAGATCTCTTCAAGAAAATTGGAGATTACGAGGGAACATTTCATAAAAGGATGGGCATGATAAAGGGAAGAAACGGTAAGGACCTCACAGAAAGAGAAGTGATTAAGAAGAGATGGCAAGAATACCAACAGAAGAAGTATACCAGAAAAGTCTTAATTACTTGATTAACAATGGTGGTGTGGTCACTCACCTAGAGCTGGACATCTTGGAGTGTGAAGTCAAGTGGGCCTTAGGAAGCATTACTTCAAAGCTCGTGGAGGTGATGGAAATCCAGCTGAACTATTTCAGATCCTAAAAGATGATCCTATTAAAGTGCTGCACTCAATATGCCAACAAATTTGAAAACTCAACAGAGGCTACAGGACTGGAAAAGGTCAGTTTTCATTCCAATCCCAAAGATGGGCAGTGACAATGAATGTTCAAACTACTGTACAATTGTACTCTTTTCACATGCTAGCAAGGTTATAGTAAAAAATCCTTCCAGCTAAGTTTCAATAGTATGTGAACCGAGAACTTCCAGATGTACAAGCTTAGGTTTCGAAGAGGCAGAAGAACCAGAGACCAAATTGCCAACATTCGTTGGATCATGGAGAAAGCAAGGGAGTTCCAGAAAAACAGATACTTCTGTTTCATTGACTACACAAAAGCCTTTGACTGTGTGGATTACAACAAACTATGGAGAATTCTTAAAGAGGTGGGAATCCTAGACCACCTTACCTGCCTTCAGAGAAATCTGTATGTGGGTTAAGAAGTAACAGAACTGGACATGGCACAGCTGACTGGTTCAAAATTGGGAAAGGAGTATGACAAGGCTTGGAGTATACATACTCCTTGGAAAGGAGTATGACAAGGCTTGGACAATACAAGGAGTATTGTCACCATGCTTATTTAACTTAAATGCAGAGTACCTCATGCAAAATGCCTGGCTGGATGACGCATAAGCTGGAATCAAGATTTCCAGGAGAAATATCAGCTACGTCAGATATGCACTCTAGTGACAGAAAGTGAAGATCCTCTTGCTAAGGGTGAAACAGGAGACTGAACTTGAAACTCAACATTCAAAGAAACTGAGATCATGGCATCCAATCCCATCACTTCATGGCAAATAGAAGGGTTGAAAGTGGAAGCAGTGACAGGTTTTTTTTTTCTTGGGGTCTAAAATCACTGTGGACAGTGACTGCAGCCATGAAATTAAGACGCTTGCTCCTTGAAAGCTATGACAAACCTAGACAGTGTGTTAAAAAGCAGGGACATCAGTTTGCCACCAAAGGTTTATATAGTCAAAACTATGGTTTTTCCTGTTCAGTTCAGTCACTTAGTCGTGTCCGACTCTTTGTGACCCCATGGACTGCAGCATGCCATGGTTTTTCCTGTAGTCATGTATGAACATGCGAGTTGGACCATATAGAAAGTTGAGCACTGAAGAATGGATGCTTTTGAACTGTGGTGTCGGAGAAGCCTCTTGAGAGTCTCTTGGACTGTAAGGAAAGCAAACCAGTCAATCCTAAAGGAAATCAGCCCTGAATATTATGGAAGGACTGAAGATGAAGGTCCAATATTTTGGCTACCTGGTACAAAGAGTGAGTCATTGAAAAAGACCTTGATGCTGGGAAAGATTGAAAGCAAAAGAGAATGGCGAAACAGAGAATGTGATGGTGAGATAGCATCACTGACTCAGTGGACATAAATTTGAGCAAAACTCAAATTTTGAGTGGGAGATAGTGGAGAACAGAGGAGTCTGGTGTGCTACATACAGTCCTTGGGGTTGCAGAGTCAGACACGATTTAGTGACTATAAACAACAAAGTTCTTCATTAACTTAAAATAATGTAGTGTGTTATGAAACAATTTTATCTAATCGAAAATTCTTTGTACAGGGAATTATGTTTTGTATACTAGTATTTTGATATATTTCAAATACTTAAAATAGTGATTTGAATACAGATTTGGGGGAATTTTTGGTTTATCCACTAATAAATAAGTGTGGAAAATTTAGGAAATGTTTTCCTGTTTTTATAGTAATATCAGTACCTAAAATGTTTTTCCATTTATATAATATTTAGTTGATGTCCATTTCTTTGGTTGTTTCAACTACATATTTTTAAAAATCTAGTTGCTAAAATAGGTAATAACCAGAAGAAACAAGGAGAAAAATTATTGTCTTAAGTCTGGTTTTACAAAACACATGGACTATATTTATAGAAAAACCTGAGTTCTTGAAACGACCTGGGACTAAGAACAATGACTCCTGCTCTCCTTCTAGCATTTTAAAACTGCAGAGCGACTTAAAGCTGTAGTGTTGAGCTGCTGTTAGGATTTTTGTAGTCTGTAGCACATCTTTACTCTTCAGTTTTCTCAGATCATTGAAATGGAAATGTTATTTTTCTTATTTAATGCATTCATTCTCCAGACCTGCAGTCAGCTATTTATAGATGCAGTTTTAATTCTTGCTCTCTTTTACTTAGGATTTTCTGAAAACCAACTAAGATAAATAAAATGTGAAATGCTTTGTAAGCTTTAAGGGGCTCTACAACAAATATTTGTTATGAATAGTAATCGGTGTAATATGTTCACCAGCATGATTAACTGATCAAGGTCAAGTGATCATGGATGTTTGGGAAGAACTGAGTTTGATTTTGAATGAGAATAGGATTTTTACTGGCAGAGGTAGAGCTGTTGAGTGTAGGAAATAATGGTAGCCAAAGATAATAGGGATAAGTTAAAGGGTCAGAATTTAAAACTCTCAAATTCAGAGTAATTTTGTTTCTGTGTTAAAAAAAATTCTTATCATAAAACAGTCTGTTTGTACTATCTAGCAGTACAAACTAACAGTCTGTTTGTACTATATAATCAGAATTTTAATCCAAAATATCCCTATTCATTAACTTTTCAAGTAGCCTAAGCATCTCACAAGAATGCTACTCTGATTATACAAAAGCTTTCCCAGGTACTTATAGTATAGCCATCAGTAATCACATTCTTTGAAGATAGGGGAAAAAAAAATCATTTTTATGTTATCTCAGAGGATGAAACAGAGGAGCTAGGTAGTGTAATACCCTTATTTTCTGGGCATATTTTCCCTTATTAAAAAATCAGACAGATGAAACTATTAGAATAATTTTTGCCCTGTAAAGTATGTTAAGATATAAAATATCTTATTAGTAATGACAAGATACTATCCTTTATTGCTGAATGCTTTCTGTGTGCCAGATGTTGTGTTGGTTGATTTTAAAAGTTAAGATATGAAAGGTTTTTTTTAGTAATGATAATAGCTTTCATTTATTATTAAATGCCTTCTTTATACCAAATACTGTGTTGCATGCTTTATTTTTAAATGCACTATCTTACTTGATCTTAAAAGCACTGGGTAAAATAAGGTGTTATAGTTCTTAATTTACAAAAGAAGAAACTGAAGCTCAGAGAAGTTAATTAAATGAGCCAAGAATACATAGCTTATCAGTGACAGGGCTTTGATTTGAACTTAACCTGTCTGATTTGAAAGCCTGAAATATTTTTTGCTTCTACTTTCAGTGTACAGTTGTGAGAGCATTAAAATATTATGTGCAGTTTTAAAATCCTTGTTACCAAGTACATTGTGTTTTATTTTAAAAAAGAATTTTTACTCAGCCTACTTATAGCCTAACTATCTCCATTTCTCTTGCTAATCCTCTAAGGCTACAGTCCTTTAGGCTTTAAGGTTATAGTTTTCAAACTTAAAACTTCACTTAGGAGTGAAATCCTTATAAAAACAAAATTTTATTCAAAAGGCTAATAAATAGCATATAAAAACACAGCTTCTCTGTCAGACACAACCAGTATATTCCCTAAGGAAGAGTCCTTTAGGCTCTGGGGAAGCTAATTTTAAAACGGTTGTATAATCCTAACTCTTTCTATTATGAGCCCTTTCACATGAATGTGTGAGGTTTTATCATTCAAGATTAGCCATTTCAACTCTGTGTGTAAGAATAAATGGACAATATAACCTAAAGCCATGAGTTGTTCATCGCTCAGTCATGTCCGGCTCTTTGCGACCCCATGGACTATATAGCATGGCAGGCTTCCCTATCTTTCACCATCTCCCATAAACATGCTCAAACTCATGTCCATTGAGTCAGTGATGCCAGCCAATCATCTCGTTCTCTGTCGTGTCCCCTTCTTCTCCTGCCTTCAATCTTTCCCAGCATTAGGGTCTTTTCCAATGAGTCAGTTCTTCACATCTGGTGGCCAAAGTATTGGAGCTTCAGCTGCAACATCAGTCCTTCTAATGAATATTCAGGATTGATTTCCTTTAGGCTTGACTGGTTTGATCTCCTTGCAGTCCAAGGGACTCCCGAGAGTTTTCTCCAGCACCACAGTTGAAAAGCATCAATTCTTTAGTGTTCATCCTTTATTATGGTCCAACTCTCACATCCATACATGACTACTAGAAGACCATAGCTTTGACTATATGGACCTTTGTCAGCAAAGTAATGTCTCTGCTTTTTAATATGCTGTCTAGGTTTGTTATAGCTTTTTCTTCCAAGAAGCCAGCATCTTTTAATTCACAACTGCAGTCACCATCTGCAGTGATTTTGGAGCCCAAGAAAATAAAGTCTGTCATTGTTTCCACTGTTTCCCCATCTTTTTGCCATAAAGTGATGGGATCGGATGCCAGGATCTTCATTTTTTGAATGTTTAGTTTTTTGAAAGCCATGAGTAGACCACCTCTTTGTTAAGTGGACAAAACTAACTTTTCATTAGCCATTTTAAGTTGTTAAATAAAAAGCTTCTAAAGTGTCTCTCTAAAAATTTTTTTTAAAACAAACTCATTTACTTAAGCATCTAAATTTAATTCATTCGTGGGAACTTATTTTGGCATATGCTCTGTGTTTTAAGTTTTTTTTTTTTTTGCTTGACATATTTTGCTCTGCCTTCTTTCATAGTAGTTATTTATATATTTATTTGAAGCCATATTTATTATTTTCCTACATAGAATGGTATTTTATGAACTATTTTAGTATATATTGTATATAATAGATATTTTGTAGTTTCTTTTTATCTTAACTTTAGATCACATCAATTTTTGTCATTATTTATTGTTACTTGTATGATATGTTGATTATATTACTTTCAGTTTGACTCCAAGGTATTTTTTAATTTAGCTCCAAAGTATTTTTACTTTGTTGTAAGCAATATTTTAAAGACTTTAAAAATATTTTTCTACTACTTAAATCATTGTAGGTATGAATGAAAGTTCATTTTTATCAAAACGTCCGTCTACTTCTGAAGTAAACAGTGTTAACCCAAAAAAGTCTAAACCCAATGAAGGTGTTTGTGGAACAAATTCCTCAGCTGTATTTTCTTCAGCTAAATCTCTTTCAGTGACATCTCCCCAGGCTGTGCCATCAAAAGGTAAATATGAAATGTGGCATACAAAAAGAAAGTATAGTATTTATATATGAATTACAGAAATTGTAGTACAAATGATTAATAGTAGTTATTGAAGGTTAAAAAGTGTTGAATTTTGAATCATATATATTTTGAATTTATTTTAGGTACAAATACTTCATCAAATCAGTCTAAAAATGGAACACCTTTTCCAAGAGCCTGTCCAAAGTGCAATATTCATTTCAATCTTTTGGATCCTTTGAAAAATCACATGAAGGTAAAACTTTTTCAGAATTTAATTTTAAAAAGGCTTGTAAATCCTTAAAAATACTGATTGATTTTTAGTAAATAATGATTTGTTCAGCTCTTGAGATAATTATTCTTGTGATATTTTCATATAAGGTAAAAGTTCATATTCATAATCATTGTTTTCATGTAAGATGAAGATCCCCTGGAGGAAGACATGGCAACCCACTCCAGTATTCTTGCCTGAAGAATCCCCATGAACAGAGGTGCCTGGCAGGCTGTAGACCATCAGGTTGCAAAGAGTTGGACGTGACCAAGTGACTAAGCACAGCACAGAAAAAGATTTTAAAATTTCTTCTGAGTCATCAAATTTTAAAAATCAAGTTCATATATATTATGCCTACTTATCATATTCTAATTTTAAATGAAAATAATGCATTATTCAAAATATCTTATTTACTACCTTACACATATTTGAAACTTCTTAAAAATAGGCATTTTATAATGTGTTTAATGTTTCATATAATGGCTTCCCAGGTGGCTCAGTGGTAGAGAATCCACTAGAAGACATAGGAGATGTGGGTTTGACCCCTGCATTGGGAAGATTCCCTGGAGAAGGAAATGGCAACCCACTCCAGTATTCTTCCTGGAAAATCCTGTGGACAGAAGAGCCTGGCGGGCTACAGTCAATGGGGTCGCAAAGAGTCAGGCACTACTGAGCACGCATGCATACAATATTTCATATAAATTAACAGTTCCTTTAGTTATCTTTTTTGTTCATGCTAATATGTGCATGTCACATTATACAATGAAAATCTTAGTTTTACATTAATTTCAACACCCAGACATAAACTCCAAATGGTAGAGCATTTCATATGAGTAATTGTTTTAACTCACTCCAGAGTATAGTTTGTGTAATGATTATAAATTAATTTGAGATTCTTATTGATACAGGAAGCTTTTGAAATTGGAGTTTAAGAAGTTTTCAAAGTACAAATGAAATAGGTTTAGGTAACACTTCACTTAAAATATTTTAGTAGGTATTACAGTACCCTGCTATGTCTGTGTAAAGATAGCCTGTATTCCTCTTCTGTGCTGGGTATAAATGGAAGGAAGGGGTAAAGAGAAGTGAAGACAAAAGGCAGTCTAGATCATGTGGAGAAAAGAAAGAAGAAGAAGGATGCAATGGTAAGGAAATATTTCAGGAAAGATTCTTACTCACTGTTTTAGGGATTGACAGATCTCTTGAGATTGAGTATTTTATGAAAAAGAGAAGTAGAAAAAAAGAAAGGAACTTCTTTAGAAATTCAAACATTGTCTCTTCATTTGCATATAAAACTGTATTTGGTCTGTCACTACTTTTAGCTTGCAATATGTACCTTATGATAATTGCACTTTGTGCTTTGTTTTTATATGAGAATTAATCTGTAGAAATGCTTTCAATTTTGCTATTTATGTAATATCTTGAGATACCAGGGGGTTTTTTGTTTGTTTTGCTTTGCATTTTGGACATAGGGAAAAAAGAAAAGTGTAAATTCTTTAGTTATCTTTAATTATTTGAGTAGGTAATATAGTCATATGATTCAAAATTTAAAACTCTATAAGGGCATACAAGTAAAAATTCTTATCCTTGTCTCTTATTTACCTGGTTTCCATTGTGATTCTCAAAGAAAATAATAGGTATTACTTTTTTGTTTTTTTTTAATCTTCCCTGGTCTTCTTTCTGCATAAACAAGTGAACACAAATGTTCTTATTTCATTTCTGTTTCTTATACAAGCTGAAGCATATTATATATATTGTACCTGGTGAGACTGGCAATCATTTTCCAAAATGTAGCTTTACTTCCAAAACATATTATACCCTTGTTTGTGATTATGCATATTAGAAGTAATCACAACTTCATATAATATCTATAATAAAACACTTCAATATTTTTTACAAAGGATGGAATCTCTTGAATGGGAAGATAGCTCTAAGGCATATTATTGAACTGAGTTGAATGTAATATCAATAATTTATGATATATTTATGTCATAAAAAATCTTACAGAATGATCACTAAATCTTGCTCAGGAAAGTATAAAATTATGAAGACTTTTTATGTTCTAGTTGTGTATTTTATACATAAACAATAATTTGTAATAGTAGTTTCCATTTTGAAAAAATAAGATTTTTAGATTATTTGTAGATGATTTTATTTTGCTTTTGTTATAGATAAATAGATGAGTATACCTCAGAAATATTGTTTTCTTTCAATAAAAAATACCTAAAACATAATTCAAATGTGCTATGATAATAAGAACCATATCCTTATTTGAGACCATGGAGAGACTACTAAGCTTTAAAAACATCCTTTAATCCTTAGAAAATTATTTTTCTTTTTTTTCTAGAAACTAAACATATATTTTATCTTCTTTGGCTGCTCTTTGTTGCTGTGCATGGGCTTTCTCTAGTTATGGAGAGTGGGGTTACTCTCTAGAGCAATGTGCGGGCTCTTCATTGCGGTGGCTTTTTGTTGCAGAGCCCAGGCTGCATGTGCGCAGGCTCCGGTAGTTGGAGCACGCAGGCTCAGTCGCTGTGGCTCATGGGTCCTAGAGTGCAGGCTCCGTGGTGGTTGTGCATGGGCTTAAAAGCACGCCATGTGGGATCTTCCTGGACCAGGGATTGAGCCCATGTCCCCTACATTGGCAGGTGTATTCTTAACCACTGTGCCACCAGGGAACTCCTAGAAAATTCCTTGAGATAGACATTTTTATCATTGTTTTAGAGCCAGTTATTTGGTGTAACTGATGTTCAAATCTTTCATGGTAAAAGCTCAAGTTCTCTCAGATACTTATTTTTACCACCTTTTGACAAATGTATGGGCTATTTAACTTGAAGCCAGATATATTAGTTCTTTTTTAGGGTATGGAATTAGATATTTATCAACCAGATCTAGATTATTAATTACATTATTTAGATTTCTGTGTCTTCACTTATTTTTTGTCTACTTGCTCTGTCATGGATTGAGAAATACCACATCTCAATCCACATCTTTCAGTACCAATATTTTCTTTGGTATATTGCAATTCTTTTTTAAGATTGTTGATACTGTTTGTGATACAGATGAATCTCTTTTATAACTATACTGTGAACCTATCCTTTAGGATTTTTATAAAGTGTCCTTTTTTGTCTTAATTTTTAATGCCTTTCAGACTCACAACCTTTGTTTTCTTCTGGTTTCTATTTGCCTAATGTATTCTTTGTTTACCCTTTTATTGATATTTTCAGCCCTTCTGAGTTACTTTGTTTTAAGCATGCCTCTTGCTTTAAGTAGAGAGTTGTAATCCTACATGAAAATCTTCTTTTGTTTCAGTAGTTGATTTAAATTTCCTTATTTTCATCGACGTAATAGGTTTATTTGATCTTGGTTCTGTCACAATTTTTTTTTTAAACTAAGCTGAGTTATCTTTCTTTCCTCTTTCACTCTGTGGTTGCTTTATATGTATGTAGTTTGGATTTTTAGAGAAGTTGTATTTTTGTTTTCATGTATATCCTTATCCTTCAAGTTTTAATGTTATATAATTCCAGTAGTCTTCTATTCTTATGGCCATTCTCTCCTGCTAAAATTGATTAAAGTAGCTTTAAATTTCCTATTCTTAATCCCATTCTTACTTTTTCCTCTGCTGCCAGTATTAGTCAATATTATCTTTCTGAGTGTACTATTTCTTTATACTATTAAAAATGCTCATACCTATACTTCTTTATTTGGTAATTCTAAATTATATTCCTTGATGTGCTGCTACCATGTATGAAGCAATCTGTTGAACTTTCTTGACCTCATATTTATTGCCCTTTTACCTCCTTTCAGTTTTTATTTGTTGGTTATATCATTTTTCCACTGTCAAGGACATATAACATTTTCAATATTCTTATCCTTATTCTGTATTTGTTTTAATCCTTTTCCACAGTAAATAGATTCAGTGTCCATCACCAGTCTTTTTGTCATGGTTCCTTTGGTTATCACTTGTTTGATTAAAGTTCATCTAGTAATTTCTTCAAAAACAATCTGGAACAGTATTCTTTGAGTTCTTTCCTGTTCAAGACATTTGACTACAGTCCTCTAAAACTTTAAATCATAGCCTGGTTCTCATTTCTTAATTTTGCTTTCTTGTCTTTTGTATATTTTCTATACTTTGCTTTCCTTTCAGTTACTAAATCTCCCAACCTTCTTCAGTGCACCTTTTCCATTTTTGGTTGTCGGTGGTTTGTCATTCAGCTTTTTTTTTATAGGGATATGAAACATATGTTTCATATATGTTTAAAAGATACTTTGAATGAGATTTATATGTTTATTTTAAAAATCTGGTCCTATCTTAGTTTTCTGTAGAAAAAAAAGAAAATGGAACAACAGCAAGCAGTTGATCATCAATTATGCGTTTATGAGTATTTAGGGTATTAAATTTTTATGGATGTACTAAATTAGACATTTCTGAAGAATATGAACCTTGCAGCATATTTTACCATAGATTACGTAGATTCTTTTATAGATTTCAGAATAGCCTCAGTTCTCAGATATGACTCAGAATAACTCTTCAGTCTGAAAGTCAAATTTTTGAGTATAAAGATTATCCACAATTGTAATTAGAGACACTATTCTTTTATGTAACTTTTTTGCATTATAATTTTCCCTGTTGATGTTTGAGATCCATCCCAATAGTAAAACCTCAGATAAGGTGAGAAGTTTTATCTATCAAAATGATGTTACAGATGCACATCATTTGTAGTAAGACACATATTTTAAATCATTTTTCTAATAGTGCTGGTGAGTTTACTCTGATTGATCTTTTTCTCCATTTTTCCTTAAAGTCAAACCCAACGTTTTTAGACAGAACTTAGCTTTCTAAAGTTCTTTTAACAGTCCAAGTTTCCTAATTTTGAACTCTTAAATATTATGTGTGTCTTAAGAAGAATCTATACAGGTAGCGAAACCTTTCTCATTTCCTTCTTTTTATTGTGGTTTCATTTCAACTGTGTCTTTTAGAGTTAGACCACAGAGGATCATATTGAATTAGAGAACTAATGTCCTACTTTAGCTTATGGGTACAACCTTAACTCCAGAAACAAATTATATCACTTTTGGTCAGTTCCTTTTATTTAGTATTTTTTTCTCCTCTCTTTTAGAGGATTTTTTAAAGATATTTTTGGTGTGCTTTTTTTTCCCCCCCTTTAAAGGTTTCAGAATTGACAAGTGAGCAGAATAACTGCAATCAAAGGAAATGTTATAGGTCTGTCATATCAAAAGCCCAGTTTCTCATGTGACATACGAAGTTTCACCAATAATGTAGCATTTCAATATGGCAGGAGAGGAAGAAGTTGTCATTTTTATAAATGCAATAGAGTTGTGTTTAGATTGTCAAACTTTCTTATGATGTGACTAACTTACTAAATAACATGTATAGGAAGAGTTTAAGTCAATGGTTTAAATTGTAAAAAAATTATGTAGTTGTTGTTCAGTAGCCCAGTTGTGTCTGACTCTTTGTGACCCCATGGTTTGTAGCATGCCAGGCCTCTTTGTTCCTCATCATCTCCCAGAGTTTGCCCAGATTTGTGTCCATTGCATCAGTGATGCTATCCAGCTGTCTCATCCTCTGATGCCCGTTTCTCCTTATGCCCTCAATCTTTCCCAGCATCAGGGACTTTTCCAATGAGTCAGCTGTTTGCATCAGATGACCAAAATACTGGAGTTTCAACTTCAGCATCAGTTCTTGTAATGAGTTTTCACGGTTGATTTCCCTTAAGATTGATTGGTTTGATCTCCTTGCTCTCCAAGGGACTCTGAAGAGTCTTGTCCAGCACCACAGTTTGAAAGTCTCAATTCTTTGGCACTCTGCTTTCTTTATGATCCAGCTCTCACAACTGTATGTGACCACTGGGAAGGCCATAGCCTTGACTACACAGATCTTTGTTAGCAGAATAATGTCTCTGCTTTTCAACACACTGTCTAGGTTTGTCATAGCTTTCCTGCCAGGAAGCAGACGTCTTCTGATCTCCTGGCTGCAGTCACCATCTGCAGTGATTTAGAGACCAAGAAAAGGAAATCTGTCACTACTTCCACCTTTTCCACCTCTATTTGCCATGAAGTAATGGGGCCAGATGCCATGATCTTTGTTTCTTTAATATTTAGTTTTAAACTATCTCTCACTTTCCTCCTTCACCCTCATCGAGAGACTCTTCAGTTCCTCTTCACTTTCTGCCATTAAGTGGTATCATCCACATATCTGAGGTTGTTGATGTTTCTCCCGCCTATCTTGATTCCAGCTTGTAACTCATCCAGCCTGACATTTCTCATGATGTGCTCAGCATATAGATTAAACAAACAGGGTGACAGCAGACAGCCCTGTTGTACTCCCTTTTCAGTCTTGAACCAATCAGTTGTTTCATACAGGGTTTAACTGTTGCTTCTTGACCTGCATACAGGTTTCTCAGGAGACGGGTAAGATGGTCTGGTATTCCCATCTCTCTTAAGAGCTTTCCATAGTTTGTTAATGATCCACACAGTCAAAGGCTTTGGCCTAGCCGATGAAACAGAGTAGATGTTTTTATGGAATTCCTTAGCTTTGTCTGTGATCCAGCAAGTATTGGCAATTTGATCTCTGGTTACTCTTTCTTTTCTAAACCTAGCTTGGACATCTGGAAGTTCTTGGTTCACATATGCTGAAGCCTAGCTTGCAAGATTTTAAGCATGACCTTACTAGCATGGGAGATGAGTGCAATTGTCTGATGGTTATCACATTCTTTAGTAGTACCCTTCTTGGGAATTGGGATGAGGATTGACCTTTTCCAGTCCTGTGGACACTGCTTGGTCTTCCAGATTTGCTGACATATTGAATGCAACACCTTGATGGCATCATCCTTTAGGGTTTTGAATAGTTCTACTGGAATTTGGTCACATCCACTAGCTTTATTAACAGCAGTGCTTCCTAAGCCCCACTTGACTTCACTCTCCAGAATGTCTGGCTCTGGGTTGCTGACCACACCATTGTAGTCATTTGGTTCACCTGGATCTTTTTTATACAGTTCTTTTGGGTATTCTTTCCTTCTCTTCTTGATCTCTTCAGCATCTACTAGGTCTTTACCATTTATGTCCTTTATTGTGCCCATCTTCAGGCAAAGTGTTCCCTTGATGTCTCCAGTTTTCCTGAAGAGATCTCTAATCTTTCTCCTTCTGTTGTTTTCTTCTAGATTTATACTCTGTTCATTGAAGAAGACCTTCTTGTCTCTCTTGCTGTTCTTTGGAAATCTGCATTTAGTTGGATATTCCTTTCCCTTTCTCCCTTGCTTTTCACTTCTTTTTTTAGCTATTTGCTAGGCCTCCTCAGATAACCACTTTGCTTTCTTGCTTTTCTTTTTCTCTGGGATGGTTTTGTTCACTGCCTCTTTTACAGTATTGTGGACCTCCTTGCATTGTTCTTCAGGCATACTGTTCACAAGTTCTTATCCCTTTAATCTATTTGTTACCTCCACTGCCTATTCATCAGTTCAGTTGAGTCACTAAGTCATGTCCGACTCTTTGCCACCCATGGACTGCAGCGCCAGGCTTCTGTGTCCATCACCAACTCCTGGAGCTTGTTCAAACTCATGTCGATCGAGTTGGTGATATCATCCAACCATCTCATCCTCTGTTGTCTCTTTCTCCTCCTGCCTTCAGTCTTTCTCAGCATCAGGGTCTTTTCCAATGAGTCAGTTTTTCACATCAGGTGGCCAAAGTATTGGAGCTTCAGCTTCATCATCAGTCCTCCTAATGAATATTCAGGACTGATTTCCTTTAGGTTTGACTGGTTTGATTTCCTTGCAGTCCAAGGGACTCTGAAGAGTCTTATTCAACACCACAGTTCAAAAGCATCAATGTTCATATTCAGAGGGGATTTAATTTAAGTCAAACCTGACTGGCCTAGTGGTTTCCCAAGCTTTCTTTAGTTTAAGCCTAAATTTTGCTATGAGAAGCTGATGATCTGAGCCACAGTCAGCTCCAGGTCTTATTTTTGCTGACTGTATACACTTTATATTTGGCTACAATAATGTAATCGATCTGATTTCAGTATTGGCTATTTACACATGTCCATGTGTAAAGTCATCTCTTGCCTTTGCCATGCTTCATTTTGTTCTCCAAGGCTAAACTTGCCTGTTACTCCAAGTATCTTTTGACTTCCTACTTTTTCATTCCAGTCCCCAGTGATGAGTAGAATTCTTTTTTTGGTATTAGTTCTAGGAGGTCTTCTAGGTCTTCATAGAACTGATCAACTTTTTCAATATGGTGGTAGGAGCATAGACTTGGATTACTGTGGTGTTTAATGACTTGCCTTGGAAATGAACTGAGATCATTCTGTCATTTTTGAGGTTGCACCCAAGTACTACATTTTGGGCTACATTATTGATTATGAGGGCTACTTCATTTCTTATAAGGGATTCTTGCCCACAGTAGTAACATTCCAGGTTTCTATACAATACTGTTCTTTGTGGTGTCAGATTTTACTTTAATCACCAGACATCTACAGCTGAGCATCATTTTCACTTTGGCCCACCCACTTCATTCTCTCTAGAGCTATTAGTAGTAGTTCTCCTCCACTCTTCCCCAGTAGTATATGGGACACCTTCAGACTTGGGGGACTCATCTTTTGGTGTCATATCTTTTGCCCTTTTATACAGTTCATGAAGTTCTTATGGCACACGTACTGGAGTGGATCCCTCTTCCAGTGGATCACGTTTTGTCAGAACTCTCCACTATGACCCATCTGTCTCGGGTGGCTCTACATGTCATGATCATAGCTTCATCAAGTTATGCAAGCCCATTCGCCATGACAAGGCAGTGATCCGTGAAGGGGGAATTACCTAGGTGGCCTGTTAAAGAATATAGGTTTCTGGCCCCTACCTCTAGACATTGTGGTTTATTGGTCTGAATTGGACTCAGCATTTTGACAAACATTTCTGGTTTTTCTAATGCAAGTCTTCCCTGGATTGCCCTCTGTGTAAAACTGCCTTAGAGAAATTCTAAAACTGAAAATTATGTAGAATAAATTATCTTGTTGAAAGAAAAAAGTTCATGTATGAAAGTACTCCACCTTAGAACTAGTTTATATGATACCTTGATTTTACTCACTAGAAACTAAAGTTCCCCTTCAAATATATGAGCATTCTAGATTTCAAGATGCAATTGCTGAAGCTTTCAAGATATAACTGATGCTTCTTTATTTTGTCCCTATATATTTTCTAGTACCTTGAGTCTTGGGAATGGCAGATTAACTGTACTCAGTGTCCAGTTCCAACCAGATATTGCAAAATTTAGTATATCACTTGATAATTAAGCATATACATTGTGGCATGTAAAACTGTGTTTCCTTTCTATACTCTTTATGACATGGATATGAATAATTGTGTAGTTAATTTAAATATTATTAGATATTTACATATGAAAAAGTACATTATAAGGAAAAAACTATTAGATCAATATCCACATCCTGATTTTAATATTTTTCTTTTCTGTCTTTAAAAAAATTTTTTTATTTATTAATATCATAGATATTTATTGTTTGAAGTTTTTAGAGTGTGTATATGCAGGGCAGGCTTTTGGCAAAAATTTTTCCAGATATATTACCAATCACAATTTTACATGATCTTACCTTAGTTGTAAACAAAGAACCATATTTTGGTTTCTAATTTTTTAAAGTGATAAATAAGGCTTCTGTTTTTTTCTCTTGCAGTACTGTTGTCCAGACATGATAAATAACGTTTTGGGGCTGGCTAAAACAGAAATTTCAAGTACAGCAAATAAAAATAAAACTGTTGATTCAGAAAAAGGAAAACTGATCATGTTAGTTAATGACTTTTATTATGGGAAGCATGAAGGAGATGTCCAGGAAGAACAGAAGACTTACACAACCTTTAAATGTTTCAGTTGCTTGAAAATTCTTAAAAATAATATTAGGTATGTAAACATTTATTTTTATTTCTATTTGAAAATTGGAATGCTACAGATTGTAGCTACAGGTTGTATCTTTATCTTGCATTTTTAATATTATTCTAGATAAGTGATTTTAACACTTTGAGCTAAGAACAAAGGCAAATTCTTTTGTTGAAAAACTTTTGTTCTTTCTTAGATATTAGACTTGACTCTTAGATCTAGTTAGTTGTGTTTCTTTAGAATAGCTTAAAAAGGACAAATTATATTTAAAAAAAAAATTATTTTCCCTGTACTATCAGTGATCTAGATATTTTCATGAAATAATTTTCATAGTTAGCTGCCTTTGAATTTTACTTTTTTCATATCACAAGAAGAACTACTTACTGATATTTTGTCCAGTTTGACTTCTTATATACTCATGCTCAAATCCTGCAATTTATAATTTTTGGGACATTTATCTTATAGTGATCTTCTTGGGAGAAGTACCAGTTCTAGGAAATATGACTGCTTTGATTTTAAATTTGAGCCCTTTAAGAATTAGAGATTTAATTTCAGTGGAATTTTGAAATTTGTACACATATATGCTTTAAATTTTAGGAATTTATACTTTGTAATCTTTGAGTTACATGGCATATTAGTAACTGTCATCCCGTAAATAAGTTAGTTACAAGATTAAAAAGACATATTGATTGATATTTTTCATTGGTATAGCTTGATATTTATATTTGGTAAGGTTTTTTAACGTCATTTTATTATGAAAATTTTTAGCGTTCAACAAATTTAAAAATATTTTATAATAGATACACCTGTATATTTAACATCTTGATTCTACTATTAACATTTAACTGTACTTGTTTTATTGTGTATCTAGTCATCCTTCCTTCAAACTATTTGGGTTTTTTTAATGTGTTTCGAAGTAAGTTTCAGATGTTAATGTTTTCTTCAGGTGAGACGTGTGTGTGTACAAACATATAAAGGGATACGTTTTTTGTTTATCCCTCATAACTTATTATTATATAAGCGTTCTTAGGCACCTATAGGTTACTTCTAGATCTAGCACTTATTTTCCTGTGAGTTGTTAAGGTCCAAAAAGCATATAGAAAAACCCTGAAATAAACTGTGGTAACTCCTATAATAATAATTATTTATGACAGTGCTTTATAGTTTTAAGAAATTCTTTTACATATATTATTTCATGTGAGTTGTCACGTTTCTTTATCTCCTTTCATCAGATTTAACAGCCATTAATAGCTAATGGTCCCAGTAAATTTAACAAAATGAGCATTGTACTTTGTGATATAATACTGATATAGTCTCCTGGAGCAGGAAATGGCAACCTGCTGCAGTATTCTTGCCTGGAAAATTGCACGGACAGAGGAGCCCAGTGGGCTATATATAGTCCATGGGGTTGCAAAGAGTCAGACACTGAGCATGCACACACACTGAAACAATATTACAATAGAACTCAGTCTCCTACTTTTATATTTTTACCACTTTAATAGTAAAACACACCAGAAGAATCATGTTAATATAAAATGCATAGAAATATGGCTTCCCAGCTTAGTTCTTTGTTATACTTAAATGTTATATACATGACATTAGAATATATTTCAGTAGTTTTTTTTTCCTTTGAGATTAACACACTAATATTAAACATATGAAGGCAAATTTTCTTTTTTGTTATTATTTTAGAATACTAGTTACATATTTCTGAAGTGTCCTAATACTAGAAGTTTTTAGCAAACATCATCTGGGAACATCCAGGAATTGAGTGTTTTTGAAATACTGATTGTTTAGTAAGCATAACCTTAATAGAAAACATTTTATGACCAAAGAAGTTATACATGTTAAGTAATATTTCACCTTGACAGTAGAAACTGGAAGAGTAAATTGATGTTTGTAGAGGAATGGTAAGAAACTTATAACTGTAGATTTCTATTCTTTTCCCTGTCAGCGTATTGTGGTATGTTTTTTTCTTCCTCTACATTGAGTGTCCCACAAAATATATTTATTTTATTTTGTGAATATATTTGCAAGATGTTTGTGTTTTTTGTTTTCCTTGTTTCCATTTTTTGGTTTAAGTAGTATGAGATCCTGATGGGGGCTCATGTTAGTTGAGAGAAAGCATGCTCATTAAGAGATTATTTTATATAGATACACTTTAATTTTGAAAATTGTAAACTGAGAGGTTAATGGCTTATGACATTATATGTAAATATTTAGCCAAGACTAGGGTTTATAATAGGTGTTTGTAGAGCTGGTGTTAAAACCAAAGGAATACTAAAAAAGATATTTCAAAGTATGACAACCTGTACTAAAGAGTAGTGTTATGTGAGATGTGAAAAAAAAATAATGCTGTAACATTTATGATGATTGCTTTCCAGATGGATAATAATATTACTTATTTTCAACATTATTTCCTTTAGTGTCTCAAAGTGAGTAATTGTTAATAGTTGACCCAGTCTAAAAATTGTTGTTTTGATTGAATAACTTTACTTTCAAATTCGCCAAAAAGCTTCAGTAAGCTCTTTTAAATAGGTATTCCCATTTATATTGTACTCTCTGCCATTGAAGGTCATAGTTCCTGCTCATAAGAAGCCTTTTAGGGTAGCTGAAATAGCAGAATGTAAAACTGAAAAATGGACTGCCTACAAAGGGCGCAGTGTGCAAGTTAAAGTAAAGTGTTTGCTAACAGTAAACCAGCATCATTAAATAAAACAAAAGGTTCTTGTAATTGTAGGCATTAAAATTGCTGTTACATTCATTTAAAAACCAAGACACAAGTAAAAATGCCAGTAATTTGTCTTTTAAGCAGCTGGAATCTATTCTATATCTTCAGAGCCTTAAAAGAGTTCTCTCATGATTCTAGCTGCTTTTAGTGGTAGAGTTTCCTTCCTTTCAGTATTTTAAAATATAAGTAGTATTTCTTATATGGAGAAGAAACCTGCTGTTTTATATTTAAAATTTTTTAATAATCTGAAACTATTAAGATAACAAATTTCTGATATTTCAAACTAATGCTGATAACTATTTTAAAACAAAGATGAAAACATGTTTACTTAGCTACTTAATGAAAGTGATTATTTAAAGTGCACACTCTTCTAGAGAACTTTAAGGCTTTTGAGATTTTATTTTCATTAATATATCTATAATTTTAAGATTTAGACTCAAGTACTTATTTGTGAGATTTTTGTTTTTAAATCTGAATTTTTGCACCTGTTGACAATCATTGATAGGTTTATGAACCACATGAAACATCATTTGGAACTTGAGAAGCAGAGCAGTGAAAGCTGGGAAAACCACACCACCTGCCAGCACTGCTACCGACAGTTTCCCACACCATTTCAACTGCAGTGTCACATTGAAAGTACACACACACCCCATGAATTTTCTAGTAAGTTACAGTTTCATTTAAATATTGTGTATTTGTTGATTTTTAACAATATAACCTCTGAAAAAAGTTTGTTACTGAACTCTGAACAAGTGTGGTAGAAAAATAAGAATAAAAAAACAACATTGGAATTTGAGAGTAAAAGTTAATTTTTAACTTATACAGTCTTTTTAATAAAATTAGTTACTGAAATTCCATCTTAATAAATAATTCATTATGGTAAATAACTTGTGAATTACATGTGGAGGACTAAATTAGAAGGCTCAGATCATAGTTTTTAAAGTGAAATCAGTGTCTTTCTTTTAAACTTGAGTAAGAAAAGTAAATACAGTGTTAGTTAAAATCACATACTTTGGATCAAGACAGCTTGGGTTCAGATCCAAGCTCTGCCTTGTAATATGTGATCCTAGTGTGATCTCTAGCAGGTCAGTTAATATTTGAATAATGGGGATGATAGAAATACCTGCTTCATAATGTTTTGATGGAAATTGAGTGAATTAAGTTGATGGGAATTGAGTGAGTTAGTCAAGTCTTTAGAACTGTGCTTGGCCACAGTAAACAACTCTGGAACTGTACACCATCACTACCACTGCCAATATTACTACTACTATTATTGTTGTTGATATAGATATATAAAATGAATTGTAAATGTATATATCTGATTTTGTTTCTTTTCCTTGAGAGGATTTTTTTTTAAATGAAGTATAATTGACATTTAACATGTATTAGTTTCAGGTGTACAATGTAGATTGAATACTTACGTGTATGTATATATATCTTAAAATGGTATAATGTCTTTTTCCCCCCACTTTTAGCCATTTGCAAAATATGTGAATTGTCATTTGAAACAGAGCATATCCTTTTACAACATATGAAGGACAATCATAAGCCTGGTGAAATGCCATATATTTGCCAGGTATATACATATTTTATTGTATATGTCGTGTTTGGTTGGTTGGTTTGTTATCTGTTTTGGTTACAATATTTAAACCTATTAAGCCAGGCTTCCCTGATGGCTCAGATGGTAAAGAATCTGCCTGTAATGAGAGAGACCTGGGTTCGATCCCTTGCTTGGGAAAATCCCTTGGAGAAGGGGATGGCTACCACTCTAGTATTCTTGCCTGGAGAATTCCATGGACAGAGGAGCCTGGCAGGCTCTAGCCCACGGGGTTGCAAAGAGTTGGACATGACTGAGTGACTAACACTTTTACTTTCAGGCCAGGCATCAGCAAATTTTTTGTATAAAGGGTAAGATAGTAAATATTCAGGTTTTGAGGATCATAGGTTTCTGTTGGAACAAATCAACTCTGCCATTGTAGCACAGAGGCAGTCATAGACAATAAGTAAATGAATGGATGTGACTGTGTAAACGAATGGATGTGTTTCAATAAAACTTTATTTATGGATACTGAAGTTTGAATTTTATATAATTTCCTTGTGTTATGAAATATATTCTTTTATTTTTCTAACCATTTTGATAAAATTAGTTACTAAATTAAAGTCTATTTTGTAAATAACTTATTAGTAGAAAGTCTATTGGCATAACTCATATATTGTTGTGTGGGGTCAGCAGAGAGTTGGAATTGACCCATAGGCCATTGTTTGCCCACTCCTGTATTAGACAAAGAAAAAGCCCTGTGGCAGAAAGACAAACATAGACTTATCTTAACGTACAGGGAAGAATATAGACACACAAAGGGAAGTACGAATTGCTTTTAGTTTAGAGGACCCTACCAAATGCTTTGGGACTAGTTCTTTTCCAGAATTTGGAGAAATGGGAAAGTAAGGTAAAAATAAACTGTCATTCCGTAGCCTGGAGACCATTTATAATCTAAGGAAAGATGCTGTTTTATATAGCAATAAGAAGGAACTTTTAGGACCAGAGGTGTCAAGAGTTTGATCATTCAAGTCAAAATTGGGGGTGATAAAAATATCTGATAAAAATAAGAGAATCTAGTTATATTTTGGGAAGTATCCTTAAGCTTTAAAAGCTAACTCTTCTGTTTCAAAGATTATCTTTTGATGTTTTTATTAATAGGATTCTTGGTTGTGTAAGGCATTAGAGCTGAATTAATAGTACATAGTGTTCTTCTGAACAAGTGACCTATCACTATTACTTTGAAATTGGATATCATTATAAATTTTCAAACTAAACCAGATATTTTTTTTGTAGGTTTGCAATTATAGATCATCATCATTTTCTGATGTAGAAACTCATTTTAGGACATCTCATGAAAACACCAAGAACTTGCTATGTCCATTTTGTCTCAAAGTTATTAAAATTGCAACACCCTATATGCATCATTATATGAAGCATCAGGTGAGATTTGCCAGTTCTTATTCATTTATGTTGTTTTAGAGAAAAGATAAATTATGACTTAGAACATTGTTTAGATTTGTTCTGCAAGGGAAGCAGCATTGTTCCAAATGACATGGTTAAGTTACAATGTATGCTAAATTACTGATGAAACAGGCACTTCTTTTCTTTGCTTCCTTTCTGGTGATACGATGGTTCATACATGATAATTCTGAAAGATAGTTAGAAATACTAGGAAACCTTGAATTGAAGGAAAAAAGAGAAGATGACTGAAGGAATATCCAAAAGAGTAGGACTGGAGAAGGTAATTATCAGGAGCAGGGGAAAACATGAGTTTGAACTGATAAAGAAAAGGTTGATGACTCAAAATTGTGTTTTCTTCTTTCTCTTCAAACTGTATTTCCAGTTTTAGCCCCCATATTATAAGAAGACTGTTGGCATCATTGACCAGGAATGGTCTTTTATAGCTGCCCAGAGAATACTAATGACACTTACTGCTGATATGTGAACTCTGGCAGAGAACTATATTTAGTTCTACTATGTAATTTTGGGGACCCAGTATTAGTGATTATACGTTTTTCTTGAATTCTGATATTATGCTTACTTGTTCTTTTCCTGAAGCAATTAAGTCATCCTTTGGGCTGAAAAGTTTAATGCAACACTGCTCCTGTTCTTAAGTGCTTGAAAGAACACTAACAGTGCCTTTGCCAAAACCAGAAGTTGGTGGATTTATTGAATCTGATTATGTTTCCAAGTTTTGCCACCTCACTGATTAGCTCAATGCATTTTCTTGTTACTGATTAAACTGGCATGTCAGTTTTTTCAGCATTGGTGCTCACCTTGCTTCCCATTCTAGTCATTAGATAATCATGAAATTGTCTTGTGGTTTTTCATTGGAAAAGATCACAAAAGTAGAATTTCCTAATAAATTTGAGATCACCTGTGCTCTGACTGACACAGAATGTCACAAGTGTTCTGACAAAATGTGGTCCACTGGAGAAGGGAATGGCAAACCACTTGCCACGAAGTATTCTTGCCTTTAGAACCCAATGAACAGTATGAAAAGTCAAAAAGATAGGACACTGAAAAATGAATTGCCCAATATGCTACTGGAGATCAGTGGAGAAATAACTCCAGGAAGAATGAAGAGATGGAGCCAGAGCAAAAACAACACCCATTTGTGGATGTGACTGGTGATGGAAACAAGGTCCAGTGCTGTAAAGAGCAATATTGCATAGGAACCTGGAATGCTAAGTCCATGAATCAAGGCAAATTGGAAGTGGTCAAACAGGAGATGACAAGAGTGAATGTTGACATTTTAGGAATCAGCCAACTAAAATGGACTGGAATGGTTGAATTTAACTCAGATGACCATTATATCTACTGTTGTGGGCAAGAACCCCTTAGAAGGAATGGAGTAGCCATCATCATCAAAAAAAGAGTCCAGAATGCAGTACTTGGATGCAATCTCAAAAATGACAGAATGATCTCTGTTCGTTTCCAAGGCAAACCATTCAATATCATGGTAATCCAAGTCTATGCCCCAACCAGTAATGCTAAAGAAGCTGAAGTTGAACGGTTCTATGAAGACCTACAAGACCTTGTAGAACTAACACCCAAAAAAAGATGTCCTTTTCACTATAGGGGACTGGAATGCAAAAGTAGGAAGTCAGGAAACACCTGGAATAACAAAAATTTGGCCTTGAAGTACGGAATGAAGCAGGGCAAAGGCTAATAGAGTTTTGCCGAGAACGCACTGATCATAGCAAACATCCTCTTCCAACAACACAAGAGAAGACTCTACACATGGACATCACCAGATGGTCAACACCGAAATCGGATTGATTATATTCTTTGCAGCCAAAGGTGGAGAAGCTCTATACGTCCGTAATAACAAGACCAGAAGCTGACTGTGGCTCAGATCATGAACTCCTTATTGCTAAATTCAGACTTAAATTGAAGAAAGTAGGGAAAACCACTGGACCATTCAGGTATTCATACCTGAATCAAATCAAACCCCTTACGTTATACAGAGGAAGTGAGAAATAGATTTAAGGGACTAGATCTGATAGAGTGCCTGATGAGCTATGGACGGAGGTTCATGACATTGTACAGGAGACAAAAATCAAGGCCATCCCCAAGAAAAAGAAATGGCTGTCTGAGGAGGCCTTACAAATAGCTGTGTAAAGAAGAGAAGCGAAAAGCAAAGGTGAAAAGGAAAGATATACCCATTTGCATGTAGAGTTCCAAAGAATAGCAAGGAGAGATAAGAAAGCCTTCCTCAGTGATCAGTGCAAAGAAATAGAGGAAAACAATAGAATAGGAAAGACTAGAGATCTCTTCAAGAAAATTAGAGATACCAAGGGAACATTTCATGCAAAGAAGGGCTCAATAAAGGACAGAAATGATATGGACTTAACAGAAGCAGAAGATATTAAGAAGAGGTGGCAAGAATACACAGAAGAACTATACAAAAAAGATCTTAACGACCCAGATAATCATGATGGTGTGATCACTCACCTAGAGCCAGACATCCTGGAATGTGAAGTCAAGTGAGCCTTAGGATGCATCACTACGGACAAAGCTAGTGGAGGTGATGGAATTCCAGTTGAGCTATTTTAAATCCTCAAAGATGATGATGTGAAAGTGCTGCACTCAATATGCCAGCAAATTTGGAAAACTCAACAGTGGCCACAGGACTGGAAAAGATCAGTTTTCATTCCAGTCCCAAGGCAATGACAGGGAAGGCTTAAACTGCCACACAATTGCACTCATCTCACACAGCAGCAAAGTAATGCTCAAAATTCTCCAAGCCAGGCTTCAACAATACGTGAACCATGAACTTCCAGATGTTCAAGCTGGTTTTAGAAAAGGTAGAGGAACCAGAGATCAAATTGCCAACATCTGTTGTATCATCTAAGAAGCAAGAGAGTTCCATAAAAACATCTATTTCTGCTTTATTGACCATGCCAAAGCCTTTGACTGTGTGGATCACAATAAACTGTGGAAAATTCTGAAAGAGATGAGAATACCAGACCACCAGACCTACCTCTTGAGACATCTGTATGCAGGTCAGGAAATAAGAGTTAGAACTGGACATGGAACAACAGACTGGTTCCAAATAGGAAAAGGAGTATGTCAAGGCTGTACACAGTCACCCTGCTTATTTAACTTATATGCAGAGTACATCATGAGAAACACTGGGCTGAATGAAGCATAAGCTGGACTCAAGATTGCCAGGAAAAATGATCAACAACCTCAGATATGCAGATGACACCACCCTTATGGCAGAAAGCGAAGAAGAACTAAAGAGCCTCTTGATGAAAGTGAAAGAGGAGAGTGAAAAAGTTGGCTTAAAGCTCAACATTCAGGAAACTAAGATTATGGCATCCGGTCCCATCACTTCAGGGCAAGTAGATGGGGAAATGGTGAAAATAGTGGCAGACTTTATCTTTTTAGGCTCCAAAATCACTGCAGATGGTGACTGCAGCCCTGAAATTAAAAGATGCTTGCTCCTTGGAAGGAAAGTTATGGCCAACCTAGACAGCATATTTTAAAAAGCAGAGACATTACTTTGCCAACAAAGGTCTGTCTAGTCAAGGCTATGGTTTTTCTAGTAGTCATGTATGGATGTGAGAGTTGGACTATAAAGAAAGCTGAGCGCTGAAGAATTGATGCTTTTGAACTATGGTGTTGGAGAAGACCCAAGAGTCCCTTGGACTGCAAGGAGATCCAACCAGTCCGTCCTAAAGGAAATCAGTCCTGAATATTCATTGGAAGAACTGATGTTGAAGCTGAAACTCCAGTACTTTGGCCACCTGATGTGAAGAGCTGGCTCATAGGAAAAGACCCTGATGCTGGGAAAGATTGAAGGCAAGAGGAGAAGGGGACAGCAGAGGATGAGATGGTTGGATGGCATCACTGGCTCAATGGACATGAGTTTGAGTAAACTCTGGGAGTTGGTAATGGACAGGGAGGCCTGGCATGCTGCAGTCCATAGGGTCTCAAAGAGTTGGACATGACTGAGTAACTGAACTGAACTTTGCTGTGACTGGGATGCTACCCATCTTTGCGAGGTTCTGGCAAGATCTCTCTATTTTGTGTTTCCCCAGCAGTGTTCCATCAGGTGTTAATAGATGTCCCCCTCCCAATTGCTACTGGTAAATGAATTTGGTGAAGCACAGATTTACAAAGTTAAATCGTTCTTTTTAAAAATAGGACTCCTCGGAAATTTTAAGGTGCTAATGGACATTTTACATCTCTAAACAAGGATATAGTATGTATTCCCCAGACTTACTTGGCCATTGAACCCTTTATTTGTACAGTATCTATTAACATTTTTTTTTCTATTAACATTTTTTGAAGAATAGAATTTGAGAAATGCTATTCTTGGTACTCTATATTTCATCTTTGGCCTTTAATTTTGAAAGGGAGAATAAGATATAAAACAGTTTTATTTCATTATGGGGCTTTTAACATCATTTTCCCTTTATGCTTTATTAAGGTTCAGAGTGAGATATAGATGTGGGAAGAATAGTAATTATGAAAGAGGTATGTGGGCCAGCCATGTGAACTGTGTGACTTGTAATCAGTTTTTCTACCCTAAATTTTATGTTCACTTGCCATGGGTGTACAGTTTTCTTTTTTATTTGGAGAGCCTCGGAATTAGACAGCCAGAAGTTAGGAGGGTAGAAATCTATTAATAAGAAGGATCATCAGGCATCCTTCAAGATATTTATAATTTGTGTGATTATTACAAAAGCTTGGAAAATTAAAGCTGAGCAATTAGTCCAGTATGAGATAATAAGAATTGTTGACTCTGTGGCTCATTTTATTGTTTTAGAAGACTTTGGTTGTAACTTTTGTTTAAGACAATGTATTATTATATCAGGTGATTTTAGAGCTAACAATCCAGGTTTTATGACTTTTAAGAAATGATATTAATGAAAGTGATTTTGTATGTGTTAAATATGTTCATTAGATCTTTAATAAAAACAGTTAAAGTATGCAGTTAACATCTATGCAGTCACTTGCCTTCTACCAGTAACAGGTGCTTTACATGTATTATCTTATTGAATCTTCACACACAGTTGTGTCTAGGGCAGAGTAAAGTAGTAAGAGGGAAAGTAGTAGGAAATAATGTTGTAGCAATAGAATGCAGGCCAATTCATATAGAACCTTGTAAATCAGAATCAGGATTTTGGAAAACTGTCAGCATTTTAAGCAAGTGAAAGATCTGCCATGTTTTAAGATCATTGACCGCTGGGAGGAGAATAGACCATAGGGAAGAAAGAACATGAAAGGGAGAACAAAGGAGGTTATTATTAGTCAAGGTGAGTGTTTTGGATAAGTATGGTAGTAGTGGTTGGAGGTAGTAAGTGGAAATACTATGACAGTTTTTGAAGATAGAGCTGACAGGTTTTAATAATGGGTTGGATATGGAATGTGAGAGAGAGTGACCAAGTTTTTTGTCCTAAGCAGCTACAAGAATGGAATTTTCATCTATTGTCATGTGATGAAGATTGAGGAGTATGTGTATTTTGGAGCACAGGAAGGGAGGAAGGAAATCTGGAATTCTATTTTGTCCATGTTGGTTTAAAATGCATACAAGTATTGATGTCAAGTGGTCTTTCCAGGTGCCACTAGTGGTAAAGAACCTGCCTGCCAGTGCAGGAGATATGTGAGACCTGGGTTCAGTCCCTTTGTTGAGAAGATCCTCTCTACATGGCATGGCAACCCACTCCAGTATTCTTGCCTGGAGAATCCCCATGGACAGAGAAGCCTGGCAGGTTACAGTCCATAGGGTCACAAAGAGTCGGACACAACTGAAGCAACTTAGCACACACCCACACACAGTGATGTCAAGTAGGCAGTTGGATGCAAGATATTTAAAGCCATGAAGTGATTATAGATAGAGAAAAGGTTTCTGGGTACTGAATTCTGGAGAACTTTTTTCTGTCATTGTAACTTGGTATGTTTCTTGCCAAGTTTTCTCTTTTTCTTCCTCCTCTTTCAGCGTATATGAGTGAATTAAAATTGCCCATATCTCCAATATAATCTAATGTATCACAATTCTTAAATAGTCTTAATTTGTACCTAAAATAGTAATTTCTAACATATTTATATATTGCTTTGAACTTTCTAAAGAACTTTATGAAATATCTGATGTGTGCCAGTAATGTGCTAGGTACTTCTCAATGTATTATGTGTTTGAATTTTGTGGATGATTGATTGTGTAAATGGAAGTAGTGATGTATCTGGCAGATCATAAATTAAGAGAAACCATTCTTCTGAGTTTATATGTTGCTTCAGTTTATATATATGTATACACACACATATATACTTTTTAAATTAATGAGAGCATAAAGGTAAAGATTGTAATTGATATTGTGTAGTAGAAAGAACATTGGATCAGGTGTCAGGCCTTGTCACTGAATAGCTATAGGGAAGGATTTAGATTTTTCTTGGGTCCTGTTTCCCATCTGTGGAAAAATAATAGGATTAAATTTGAGGAGGAATTCAGTCAAGGGGTCTCAGACAGTATGTAGATTGGGAATAGTTATTTGGATTTATACCTCTATATCCACACTATTCAATGCTGTAGCCTCTAGCCATATGTAGCTATTTAAACTTAAATTATTTAAAATTTGGTTGCTCAGTTGCACTTGGCCCATTTCAAGTGCTCAATAACTACATAAGTCTAGTTGCTACTGTTTTGAACAATGCAGCTCAATTACATTTCATCATTGAAGAAAGTTTTATTAGACAGCACTGCTTTATACAACCATTGTTGTAACAGGTTTCTTTGAAACATGTAGTTAGATATTTGAACTTAGTTTTCCATCTTGCCAACCAACTGGAAATAGCAAAAATTAAGAATAATTTATTCTTTCTTGGGATAAAAAGGCATGTAGTTCATTTTCACAGTATCGTGTGTCTGAGTACTTTAAAATTATAACCAGAAAGTGCTTTCATAGCACTATTAAGAAAACTTTCATTCGAATCTATCGATGGCACCTTTCATGTTCAGTTTCTGTATAGAAACAAATGTTTTTGAAAACTAAATGCTAATAATTTAAAAAATAGTAATATTTTGCTATTATGTGTGATAGGAGATGTAAAATACTAGTTTGAAAATTATTTAGTATCATTAAAATTAAAGTGGCTTCAGGATGCAGGATTTGTGGTTGTAGAAACTATTTTTCTCCCCTCTTTCTGGTTCCTAAACAGAAAAAGGGAATACATCGTTGTACAAAATGCAGACTGCAATTTTTAACATGCAAAGAGAAAATGGATCACAAGACTCAGCATCATCGGACATTTATAAAACCTAAACAACTAGAAGGATTGCCTCCTGGAACAAAAGTGAGTTCAAATATGTTGTATTTTAACATTTTGTATGATAATAGACATTAACTTCTACCTGGTTTTATTTGTTGGATATAATACCTTAAAATGATTTGTGATTTAATTAAGACTTTAATTTTAAATTTCACCGTTCCTATGTTTAGGGAAAAAATGCCTAACCATTGCTTTTTGGTCAGTAGTGTGTGAAAGTCTAGACTGGTATTCCTTTATAAAAAGTGTAACTAGATTAACTATTCTGGAGGCAGTGGGTTGTATCAGTGTTACATAGGCTATTTTTGAGCTATTCCTGTTGGCAGTGTATTTGTCGTTTTTGTCTGTTGAACTGCAAGATGCTTCAGGTTAGGAATCATGTTTTATTTATCTTTGTATCCTCAGCATCTGGTATAGGGCCTGTTTAATGCTGTAGGTTCTCAGGTGTTTATTGAAGGTATTACTGAGTCTACTCTTAGAGAAGCAAGTTCTGCTGCTGGATAGCATTATGTTTTAAGTGAGCCAACACATGTCTGACTGCATACTGATGATTGTAATTTACTTTTCCCTTTTTGCCTTACATACCTCTGTTTTCTCTGACTTCTTTATATACAGTCAGCTCTTGAATATTTGCTCCAGTGGAGGGAAACAGAGGCATGGATAATCCAAAGTGAAATAATCCCCAAAACATTTATATTTGGCTTTGGGTACTTACCTTTGAATGTGGGTATGTCTGTTATTTGAATTAACTATAACAATATAAAGCCATGCTCTGAAGACCTAGAGCAAGAGAAGCTATCCAGCATCCTTCCCTGCAGTCCATTCATTCCATGCTTGGGACTAGACATGCAAAACACTAATGTAAGCAGTGCAGCCCTCTCTCATATTTTCCCTTAATAATAATAATAATAATAATGATACTAAATGTTTTATAGCACCTTAGAATTAGGCTTTTGGTATACTTTTTCATATATTCTATTATTTAATCCATGCAGTAATCCAGTGAAGTAGACAAGGCAGATATTGTCCCTTATAGATAAAGAAGCTTAGAGAGGGTAAGTAACTTAATCAGGGTCACATGGCTAGGAAGAAATAGTTAGCATTAACCTCAAGTCTTTCATTCCTAGTCCAATGCCTTTGTATGATGCCAAAGCACATGTTTTTCATGTTATTTCCTCATAGGCTGTTTCTCAAATACATGGGGTGTGTATAGTCAAATGGTTAGTGTTGGTAGGCAATTGTGTTTTCCATTGTCCACCAGCAAATATAATTTCTGAATACCTAATGATAAGTCTTGTATTAGCTCCCTTTAAGGAAATTCTCAGTATTATTAAACTCTCCATGCAGTGTAATGAATTTATATAACCCCTCTCATAATCTTTGTAAACATACATCCTGCCCAATGAGTCCCTGAAAAGAAGAAATCATGTTTAGTGTAGATTTGCTTGTTTTATAGTTGTTGAAGGGTGATGCAGTCCTTTCTAGGTTTTCAGATTTAAGTTTTGACCCCTGTATTTGTAAATTTCTAAAGTTAAATCAGAGCATAGAAATAGCTAGGGAATGCACTCTTTTAATATTCATATAATTTGCTTTAACTGCTAATTATCCATTAATAACTTAACATATAACTGATATCAGTACAAAAATGTAAGATTACAAGTGAGTAAATATCAAGTTTAATTTCATTTAATTGGTATGAACATTTAAAATAAATGAAAGACTTATCCAGTTATAGTTTATACTTGCCCTTTCCAAATACTTGATGTTTAACTTTTTGTTATGCAGTGATATTTTAACAGTAAGGTAATGATTAATATTCTAAAGCAGATATTATCTTCATTTTTGTAGGTTACTATTCGAGCTTCAGTTGGACCTCTTCAATCAGGATCTTCAACCACACCTTCCATTAGTGCAAGCACTTCTACCCTTCAGCTCTCACCTCCAAGGACTAAAAATATAACTGCTAAAAGTCCCACAAAATCCAACACAAGTAAACCTAATATAACTAAATCCATTGCAAGTAAGCCTAATGCAAGTAAGCCTAATGGAAATAAACCTAAATACAAATCAAAAATATCTAATCTGCAAAAGAAACAAAGCACATTGGCTAGTAGCAATAAAAAAAGTAAAGTCAATACAGCATTGAGGAATTTAAGGTAAACTTTTATTCTTGATACTCAATACTAATTTTATCTTAATCAGTAACTGAGCATGCACATGATAAAATTTTTATTTAATATAAATTTACCCTATTACACAACTCTCTTGTACATTTATATGCTGTCACTTAATGCCAACAAATAATAAAAAATGTTTTTATAACTGTTGAACAGTGCTCTAATTACTATCTTTTTATATTCATTATAAAAAATTATAGTATTTTTACTATATAAAAATAAAATATTTTTAATGTTCATTCAACATAAAACACTGGGGTTTTATGTTGTGCTTATATCTTGTGATCTTTGAATGGTTAATTTAATCCCTTTTATTTTAGTAAGAAACATTAGCTGATACTATATTGTTTATACTTATTCTAGCTGTTACTCTGTAGCAGATTTTTCAAATTCTAAATCCCTGTTTGAAGTTGTTAAACACCTTAGCTTTAATTAACAGACCTTTAATAAGGCTCTCCTTTATTAATTTTGTTTTAAAATATATTTTTATCATTTTCTTTGTATCTCTATAAGGTATCGTCGGGGAGTTCACAAGTGCATTGAGTGTTATTCTGAAGTAAAAGATTTTGCAAACCACTTTCCTACCTATGTCCACTGTAGTTTTTGCAGATACAACACTAGCTGTAGCAAATCCTATGTGAATCATATGATGAGGTAAGATGAGTTAAACATCTATAATTGCCAATTAAAATTATAGTTTAGCAAGTTTGTTCTTGAAAACAGTTACCCAAGTATAAGTCAGTTTTGTTCTTTGAGGAACAATTAGAGAACTTCTAAGATGATTCTTGGTACTATTTTTCAGCATAGTAATTCATAAAGTTCCTGGAAACTTGAATTGTAAGAACAGTTGGACTAATGAAATTAAGATAGATTTGTTAGGGAAAATAGTTTTCCTGTGGGAATTTTTTATCCTATAGAACTTTAAAATGCGTTTACTTCCAAAGACAGAAAAGTAATGTCACATGGTAAAGAATAAAGAGTTGGACACAATTGAGTGACTATCACTTTCACTTTTCACTTCCTCATGAAGCATACATGTAATCTCACGCCGTCACTTTGTGATTCCAGGATTTTCAGTGATCTTAGATATTTTATTGGATCTTGTTTCTCTTTCTTTCTCTGTTTTTCTCTGTAATCCTTTCTGTCTGTCTGTCCATCCATCCATCAGGCCATCCATCCTTGCATTCATTCAGTGAAATGAGAGACTATTTCATTGTTGCTGCTGTTGGAATTATTTTTCATTAATTCATTCAGTTTAGATAAGTATTTAGTCCATGCAGAGAAAACTTTCACAGCCTATGTTATCTTCATTGATATCATATTAGTTGAGGTATCCTTCAGGATGGATTTTTATTTTTAAAAAAAAGTCAAAAATTGTTCCAATATAAGCCAGTTAGATTGATTATTCACAGTGAAGTTTTACTTTTTTTTTCCCCAAAAGTTAGAATTAGAATATAACCAACAAAAGTGATTTTTATACAGATCACAACATGACCTTTGTGTTACTTTCAGGTCATAATCAACTGCTCCTTTAAAAGGACTCTTCCATGTTTCTTGGTGGCTTTAGCACCTCTCTCACGGTTTTTTAACCCCCTTGATAACTAGCCTGACTTCATGGTCCCTGACTTCTTCAGTGCCAATGCTTTATATCAACTTTAAAGTTGTTGTGCTCCCTTTCTTAGCACAATACTATTTTAATCTTATATATGGTTCATTTCTTTTGAATTCCCATTTCCCCATGACTTTCTGGGCTTTGAAGTCCTTTTTCTGGTCCAATAGCACTCATCTAACTTTATAGTCATCCTTACCCTCAGGGTCATCTGTTTTGACTGTTGCTTTGTTTTTGTTCTAGAATCTTTTACACATTTAGTCTTGCTCACCTGGCTTAAAGGCCAAAGACTTGAACATCGTCTTCTACTGAACTTTATGCTGAATTCTAAACTACCAAACAGTGCTTGATTCAGATCAACTCTGATTCATGATCTTTAACTTGAGTTGGGACCTGTCTTTTTATTTTTAAAAATAAGAAGTATATTTTTTTATTCTTATCTGTAGTATCTTATTAACATTTTATTCTAAACTCTCTTAATTGTCACCCTGGCCTACTATAATTACTCAGTTGGAGTCCATCCTTTTAATTAATCTTTTCAGTCTCAAGTATTTTTCCTGTTACCTTCATCCAGGCATTGATCTCAGAAATCACACATGTTCCCCTTCGCAGTTAACCCTGCCCCTTATCTCCTTTAGTTCTTCCACAGCTTCTTTCAGTTAATTTACAACTTCGTCTCTATCTGTCAGGTTCCTTTTCCTTACAAATGATTTCAAGTATTTTTTTTTAAGATGAGGGATATTCATCCGTATTGCTTACCTTCCTTATTTCTTATTACCATGAACATTTGTAAAAAGTATTTGTTACTAGCATTTTCATGATTCATTTCTTTACCTTTTGAGTGTCATCTTCACCTAACACTGCCCCTTTAAAGATTATCTGTCAAGTATTTATCTCTGTATTCATTCTTTTCACTCTTATCACTCTATGAATTCTTTAGAGTCATTGTTGTCACTCACTTTTGAAGCTATTCTCTTCAGCTTTTGTTTAATTATTAACACTATTCTTCCTTTTTGCCTACTCCTGTTTCATTGCCTTTTCTTCCTTCATCTCTTCTCGCCTCTTTACATTTCCTTTCTTGGGTAACATAATCACTGTCACTTTTACCTTTCAACTTTAAATCTTCCAGTTTCAGTCCTTAGTTTCCCTAACATGTAACTATATTTCTAATTATTATTATAGGTTTTTTTCTTTTTCAACTTGACTCACTAGCATCTAGAAAGAACATAAATAAACCAAGCGTTGTCATCTTTCCAGAATTGACATGACTACTGTCCAGACACTCTCTCAGGGCATCATTTGTGTTGATGTGGAATACCAGCTGGAAAAAAATGCACTATCCCAAGTTTCTTAAGCTTGTGTTGTTCTCTTGATCTGCCACTCTGCATCATGGCTTCCTGAGATACCACCTTCTGCTTTCTGCCTCTCTGCCTCCCACCTGCTGCAGTGGACTGCACCTATAATCCCATTTCCTCTAAACCAGGCCCCGGCATCCTTTGTTGAGAATACTTCTGTGTGGAAAGTCTTTTGTCCTTTGACCAGTACATTGCCACCCCAGTACAGCTTTAATTCTGCACTTAGTGTGTAGGGGATCAAGTCAGAAAATATTTTATGTTTTCTTAGGCCAAGGGTCATTCTATTCCTCCCTCTCCCATTTATCATAGGTTTCTCATTTGTCTTATAAATCCTCCACATGCATTCTATTCCAAAACATTCCCAATTAGCCTGTCTCCCTTTATTATGTTTAGTTGTATAATACAACTATTATCTCCTTGAGAAGTAGCACTTTATATTTACCCTGTCACTTAGCACATTATAGACAGCAAGTGAGAGTCATTACTGTAATTATAAAAAAGGCCCTAATAAAATCTCAAAAGAGTATATTAAAAAAATCTTACACAGTTGGAACATCTTTAAAATAAGACTCTTACAAAGAAGAGCATCATTAAACATTAATTTTCAATGATTTTTTTGAAGTAGCATTATTTATGTGGCAGTAGAAGTCACCTGAAAAAAATGAATTGCTGTGTGATATTGCTATTCTTCAACATTATGTATGAGAAAGAAGGCTTTTTCTCTGCATGTAATAGAATTAAGGTCACAGACAAGTACTTAATATTTTTTTCTGGCAGAGTTTATTTACTATTTACTAAGAAGTATGGTAAACTGGTGGTGAAGAATCTGACAAATCTGGATTTGAAAACAGAACTCACCATTTATTACATGTGTCACTTTGGGCAAGTTACTTAACTGATTCCCATTTTTCTTATCTTGCAGTAGAAAGTTATTGTCATTATTGGGGAAATGTACTTAAAATGTTTAATAAAAATGATTTGCACTTAGGAGATATTCAAGTAATTATAGGTATTATTTCTAAATTGTCATTATTAGGTATTGTAGATAAAGTTTTTGCCTTTGATTTTCACAGTTTAGTAGGAGAGATATATTTACCTAGCTTAATGTGATAAATAAATGACTGTGTGAGCCCAGAGAAGGTAAGAATGAATTCTTTAAACAAGAAATAAGAAGGTATTGTATAAATGACATTTCGTTTACGATTTGAAGGATGATTTAAAAATTTTCCAAGGAAAAAGAAAGCTGGTATAACAGTTTGTTCCTATACAATAAATAAGATTACTGAATTAATTTTTATAAGCTATGCTTTAGCTCATTATATATTTTGTATAGATTTATTGGCATGAAATAATAGTCATTAGAAGAACAGATAGATTATTGTGATAACTTCATAAATGGTCTCCTGTTCACAATCCACCACTTGGCCCCTTTTCCATGTTTTCCTTTCTTTTGTTAATAACATCTGGTCAGGTCATTTTTTGGCCTGAAATCCTTCACCTATCTAATAAAAATAGGATGAAGTTCAGATTTTCTGGAGAATGTGAGACCTTTTAATATCTAATTCCTAACTACTTTTCCAGTGCCTTCAACTCTTATTTGCTTTTCCTGGAGTAAGTCAGTATATAGACCTTCCTAACTGAAATATACTACTGACTGTTAGCTGACTTCTCCATTTACCTTCATCTTTCCCTCATGCAACCATAAAACTTTATATGTATCGCTGTTGATGTTTATCTTGTGGTAATTATATATTTATGCATAGGTACTCACTTGTTGAATAGATGTTTATTAGGCATTTCTTCTGAGCCAGTTGCTTTTTGACTACCTTCCTCCGCAAACCCTGGAACATGAATTCTAAGGCAGACAACCTGCCTTTCTTGTTGTATCATTAACTTCTAGTCTAGTGTTTTAAATAGTAGGCATACTGTCAATATTGTTGAACATTTAGGAAACTGATCCCTTTTGTATTTCTTTGGAAGTAAAGTTTTTACTTATACCAAATCAAGATTGTTAAGAGAAGATGGTCAAAGGGAGTTTTTTTCCCCTTCTAGTCTTATTGAGGTCTAATTTATATACAATAAAATTCACCTATTTTTAGAGAACAGCTTAATGAGTTTTGATAATTATATATAAATATAAACAGGTGGTGAATTTTCGAAACCTAGATTTAAATGTTATATTTTACTGTATTGTAATAAAAATCTTAACCTTTTTTCCCCTTTCTTAGATTATTTACATATTGTTATTAACTTCATGCAGGTCTAGAAGAACGGTAGTTTTTTCTCTCTTTATTTATGAGCTACAGATTCACTTTTCCATTCCTATAATACCCAAAACTAGAAGAATGAAATTTGTGTAGTAAATATAAAGAGTATAGATTGGAAACTTAAAACTGAATTCAGACAATGAAAATTTTAAAAGTACCAACATTTTAATAAGGTGTAAGTTAGAAATGGAAGCCATCAAAATACCCTAAAATGTAACTTTTTCCTTTCCTCTTACCAAATAAAGAAAGCAGTCTGTTTGAGGAGAAGGAAGAAAGAGCTTCTAAAAGTTACTTTTAAATCTCATTTTAAAAATTAATTTACTTGGTTCATTATCTGGTAATTAGATAAAATCTTGGACACACTCCTCTGAGGAAATAACAGTTGTATGAACACATTTTTGCGTATAATTTCTGTTTCCCAATCTCCCTGATGGTCTCTTCCTAAAAATATTATTCAATTATTTTTGTCATATTACATTGAATTTATAAACTCTATGGTAGTAATTATCCCCAGATTGAGAAAATGACTTTTAGAAATCTTCTGAGGATGTTTTCTGGGGATTAAAACTGTCAGAGTATTTCTTTTCCAATACATACATGCTCTGCTTGTGATGATTATTTCTGAGACTGAGAATTAACCTGGTGTGTTGGCTACTTTAGATCTATCATTGCAAACTCCAGCTCTTCAGACTTTAGCTTGCATAAGAATTACTGAAAACCTTGTTAAAACAGCTTCCTGGACCTCACTGCCAGAGGTTAATTCAGTAGGTGTGTGTAGGGCATAGACTTTGCCTTTCTAAATAAGCTCCTAGATTATACTGATGTTACTAGTCTATGACTACAGTTTTATATGTGCTAAGTGGTACTGTGCTAAGCTAATCCTGGTTTTCTAGTATAGAAAAGCTTTCCTTGTCAGATTTAAAAGAGTATATATAAAAGAAAGCTATTATCATTGGCTGCAAAGCCTGGTTAGGGGTTTTCTGTTCTGTGCTTAGAGGGGGCATTGTTTTAGCTCAAGAGTTCTGCTTTAATTTGTTTTTGTTTTAAAGTCTACTGATAATTGCAAAGAGCTCTCTAAATGCTTGATTTTACAAATGATAAACAGTGGCCTTTAGCTTAAGTATTGTTACTTCCAAGATCATTTGGATTCTTCTCCCCTTCCTCAACACAAACATGTTAAGTTAGAAAAAGATTTTTCTAAATGATTATTATTGGTAACTATTCATGTTATGGGCAAAAATGTTATTAGCAAAAATTTTAAATTGTTTTCAACTCTTTTAATAGTTCAAAAAAAGAATTTCATGTGACTTTTTTCTTATACTCTTGAATATGTGAAGGTGTGATACTGATCAAATGAGAATATGCTTAGTAAAATACATTTCACTGGAAAATAGATAAATTTATGTTAAAATACTGAATTAAACAGGATTACTTATATCATGATATTTTATTCAAAACTAGAAATTTAAGTATAGACTTGATGTATAGCTATAAATTAATATGACTTACCGTATAGTAAAATTAATAAAATCTGTTTTGTCTCTTCTCAGCTTTCATAGTAATCGTCCAAGTAAAAGGTTTTGTATCTTTAAGAAGTATTCAGAAGATCTCAGGTAACTAGTTGATTTTTTAAATTTTTTTCTATTGAAAAGTTCTATGACTTAAATCGGCTATATAAAGCATTTTTATCAAGATAACAGTTCATATATCATGCAATCCACGTGTTTAAGTTGTACAGTTAATAGTTTTTGGTATATTCACAGGGTTGTGCAGTCACCACAGTTAATTTTAGTTCATTTTTATCACTTGAGGAAGACATCTGTACCCATTAGTGGTTATGTTTATTTCCTTCCAATTCCTTTTATCCTTAAGCAACTGCTAATATACTTTCTGTCTATATACATTTGCCTATTCTGGACATTTCATGTAAATGGAATGATAAAATATATGATCCTTTGTGTCTTCCATTTAGCATCTTTTCAAGAGTTACACATATTGTTGTGTGTATCAATGCTTCTTTTTCTTATTGCTGAATAATATTCTATCATATGTATATTATAGTTTGTTTATCCATTTAGGTTATTTTAACTTTTAAGTCATTATAAATACTGATGTTGTGAACATTTGTGTACTCATTTTTGTCTGGACATGTCTTTTCATTTTTCTTTAGTATGCATAGAATTAGAATTGCTGGGTTATATGGTAACTCTATGTCAAACTTTTGAGGAACTGCTAGCCTGTTTTACAAAGTACCTGATTAGTCTATATTCTGTCACTAAATTTGTTTCAGGGGTGACCAGTGGTGTCAAAATGAAGCTTTCATGTATTTGCACTGTAAAATGAGAACAAAAAGTAGGGCTTTCCAATAATATTTGAATAGTGAAAAGAGGCCTAAAATATGCAGTAAAGTAACACTTTTTCAGTTTTGAAGTAAATTTCTTAAGCCACTGAAATTCTTGAAATTAGTACATAGTCAGTTTAAATTTTACTTTTCAGATTAAGGAAAGTATGCTACTTGCTTACTGTGCAGAAAGAACTGTTGGTGAATATTTTTAAAAACATTGGTTTTACCACATGCTTAATTCAGAATCCACTGAGCACCATGTTTTTCACATTCTTCTGCATTGTTTAGAACCCACTGCTCTTTATTATTTTGTCTATGTAGCCATTGCTACTTGACCTATCAGTATCTTTGCTGCACCAAGCTAATATATATAGATAGGGTTAACCAGTACTTGTTTTGATATGTTGGGTTACTGGAAAATCTGGAAGAGAGGATGATACTGTGTCTCAGAGCCTTTGTACTTACTATTCTGTGACTAGTTTGCTCTTCCCCAGACTTCTGTATGTTTAGCTCCTTTATCGCTTTTGAGTCTTCTGTTGTATCCTCTCTCCTATGCTTTACCCTAGTGTCTTTTATCTCCCCTTTATGGATCATTTTTTTCTGGATTATCTTTCATCATCTCATATGCTGTATACTTTATTTTCTGTGTCCTCTCGCTAGAATGTGTGTGGTTTGGATTTTTATTTATGTAAGGCATTGATAGTAATTAGGCACTTGGTAGATATTTGTTGAATAAATTAATGTATATATTTAAAATGACTTATATTTGGCAATAGGTCCCATCAATGATTTTGGACCAGTGGTTCATAGGGAGAGGAAAATTTGATTCAGTTTTTAAAAATATATTAGTACCAATTTAAACATTTACTAACTTTAAGGCAGTAGATTAAGTCATATTAGGTGTTGCCTATATTGAAAATTCTTATAAGAATGAAGAGTTTTATTACATTCAGAAGAGGTTTTGTTTGATTTTTACCTCACTGTTGTTAAGCTCCATTGTGTGTTTGGTTTTTAAAAAATGACTTACATTATTTTAAAGCTCTGGGATGTTTTCTCTCAACTTGAATAGGTCTCAGGTTGAAAATTTGCCAATTTCTGTGAATGAAACATATAAACTTATAACTACATAGAACAGTAATTTTTGTAATTATTCTTTTATTGGAATATTCATTTTTTAGATCTTTACTACATATTAGGTCTGTAATATAGCAGGCTCTATAAAGATAATAGTAATAATGAGGAAGTCTTGGAAACAACCTTCAGAGAAGGTTAATTGGGTGGGAGATAAGAGGTGAATGTAAATAACCACAATAAATCAAGAGGGAATTTAATAAATGCACTGAGGGTTACTTTTTTCAAAGAGGAGTGAGATTACTTTACTTGGAATAATTTACATAGGTGTTAATTTACTTGGTTTTCAAGGATGAGTATTATTTATACTGATAGAAGAGTTTGATAAAGTTCATTTAAGCTGAACAGACTAAATTTTATTAGTTTCATTTGTACTTCAATTACCTTTAAACAATTTAACATAATTTAACATAATTTATATGTTAAATCTTATTTGATTTTCTTTTAAATCATTCTTCAGATGCTTGATCCACAAACTCCCAAGTGCTTAACTCTAACTAACATAATAAACAGTGGTTTTCTAAGTTCTCTGAAAGATTCACATATTTTTGCAGGCTTAGTAATATTTTAAACTAAAATGTTTAAGCACATTTTAAATTAGAGTCTTAATTTTACATACTATAATATGAAATTATGTTTAAATACTTCAAATAGCAAATGCTCCACAGTTTGATTCAGTAACTATAAAAACTATTCCTGAATTCCACAAAAAGTATTAAGTATTGATGACTATGGGAATTGTTTCCTAACCTTTTTGAAAATTTATAATCACTACATATTTCCTTTAAGAATATGCAGGACAGAAAAAGAGACACAGATGTATATAACAGACTTTTGGACTCTGTGGGAGAAGGCGAGGGTGGGATGATCTGAGAGAATAGCATTGAAACATGTATATTATCAAGTGTGAAACAGATCGCCAGCCCAAGTTGGATGCATGAGACAAGTGCTCAGGGCTGGTGCACTGGGAAGACCCAGAGGGATGGGATGGGGAGGGAGGTGGGAGCGGGGATCAGGATGGGAAACACATGTAAATCCATGGCTGATTCATGTCAATGTATGGCAAAAACCACTACAATATTGTAAAGTAATTAGCCTCCAACTAGTAAAAATAAATGAAAAAAAAAAAAGAAGAAGAAGAAGAAAGGAGGAAAGAAAAAAAAAGTACCCAGTGAAGTTTTGTTAAGGGAACCAGTAGTTTAGGTTCAAGCAAGTGGGCCAGTTGACATTACTGGGATGCTGAAGAACTCAGACTTTGAACTTTAGTAGTGACTTAGCCCTTCAGTTAATTAAGTGTTACATGAGAATCATACCAACCTTGGATGCTTGTGGTGAGAATAAATAATGTATAGGAAAACCTCACTCCAGTATTCTTGATGGGGAAATTCCATGGACAGAGAAGTTTGGTGGGCTATAGTCCATGGACTCACAGAGTCAGACATGACTTGGCAACTAAACAGTAACAGCATGCAATGGTAGCATCTTCAACATGATGTATTTTTAGAATCTTCTCATTTCTAATTTTCTCCTCTCCTAGGTAAATGTTCCACTAGAGACAGACTGTATTTTTTAGTCATCATTATATTCACAATACAATATACTAGTAGTATAGTATGTGTAATGCAACCTTAGTAAATATATATTGACTTGTATACATATTGTACATTTATATATACTATACTTTTGTTTTGAAGACGGGCATGGGCTTCCCTGGTGTTTTAGATGGTAAAAAATATGTTTGCTAATGCAGGAAACTGGGATTCAATCCCTGGGTCAGGAAGAACCCCTAGAGAAGGAAGTGGCAACCTACTCCAGTATTCATTCTTGCCTGGAGCATTCCTTGGACAGAGAAGCCTGATGGGCTACAGTCCATGGGGTTGCAAAGGGTTGGACACGACTGAGCAACTAACACACATGTAGGCACAGATAGATTGTGACTTGTCAGAGTGACACATGTTGTTAGTGCAACCAAGACTAGATTGTAGGTCTTGACTTTTTAGCTATTAGTAACTGGTATGAGGGAGAAAAGTTTATAAAACAAAAATACTTTCTGTCAGTAAATGGTAGTATAATTTGAATATGAAGAGTGACAAACACTTTCATGCCATTTTCTAAAGAATTATTTCAGTTCTATCAGGTTTATATAACAAAAATTGGAATGATAGTTATGACACAAAGAGCAAATCATGAAAAACTATTCATTGAACTGGTATGTGGGCTTTCATAAAAGATAAAAATGTTTTCTTTTATACTATTTGCTTTGTTTTTTTAGGGGCATTACTCTAGTGTGCCTTAATTGTGATTTCCTAACTGATGTTTCTGGCTTAGATAATATGGCTACACACTTAAGTCAACATGAAACTCATACTTGTCAAGTTGTAATAGAGAAAGGTACGTATATATAATTGTGTTACTTCAGATTTTTGCTATTTATTCTAGTATTTTTGGTCAGCCACAGTATGTTCTCCTTACTAAATCGTTTTTCTCACTCATCATATTTCATATGCTGTTTTAAATATAAAACTTTTCTTCTAATTTCAGTTTCTGTTTGTATCCCAACTTCTGAACATCTTTCTGAGTAAGTTTAATTTTTATTCAGTGCATTTTACTTTGATGGATTTTAGCACTACTGCATTTTTAAATGTATCATTAATAGAAATGAAAAATATTAAAGTTTTTTTTTTTTTTTTTTAAAGCTGCTTGTTGAAATAGGTTCCTGCTCTTTGGAGCTCGTGACCTGGTGCAAGACAAGTTGGAATTTCCTAAGTTCAAAGTTCTGAGATGTTTTCTTACACAAAGGCAGTTAAGCAGCCAAGTTCATGACATTAGCTCTCATTATTCAGCTCTTTTCAGCTTCAAATGGGACTAGGTTCTTATTCCACCTTATCTTTGTGTCAGGTTGACATATCTTAACATTCATTTTTTCTTTTTTTCTCCAGTTGGCTCTCTCCAAAAATAACTTTTGTTGCTTTGGTCATTTCTTACTTTGCTTAAAATAATTTGTGTTTTTCTCTGCTGTACTTGCCTTCAGAATGATATGTTCCAAAAGATATGGCTGTCTGTCTTTTTGTCTGTTTTGTCTGCTTTCGTAATTTCTTATAAATCTTTAAGTTTTTAGGCCGGACGATTGTCTTTTCCTCATTCGTTGTCTGTCATTGTGCTATTTTTCTTATTTTTCAGATGGAGAAGCAGCCCAGAGATTTCAAAAAATGTCCAGGGTACACCTGGACAGTGTCCCCCTTCGATGAACACAACTGATGCCTGTTCTCTCTTTCCAAGGAATGTGACTAATTTGACTGTGGGGCCTGCTCTAGGTTGTGGTCTCAGGAAATCCGATCTTGGGAAGACTGCCTTCCTTCATGGCTGGCCTTCCATAAGGCTGATGCTGATATAGCCAGTGATGGTCTCAAGGCCCACCAGTTGAGCATAGCTTCCCACTGGGGGCTTTGGCTCATGATCTTAAGCATGTGAGTCACTTCTGGCCAAAAAAATAAAATCTGTGCTTCAACGTCCTGGTTGAAGTTTAGTCATTTTGGCTGCTGCCCTTTAATCTTCCTGTAGCATGACTACATCCAAGGAATACAAAAGCTCTGGATATTAGGAAATGCTTATTTTCATGTCCTTGGAACAACAGGTCTCTACAATTATGTTCCAGAATTTTACTTGCTTTTACTGTTATTTAAAATATATTACCCAGGAGTAAGTTTATAGTTTTTCAGCAATATCAATTGACAAATTTTTTATTTAAAAAAATTATTTTAATTTTAGTAGATTGGTTTTATGTTCTCCAAATTTATTGATGTCTATTTTTATATTCTTTTCTTTAAAAATGTTGTTCAGTGTTTGCTTTGTTTTGTTAAGAACTTCAAAATATCCCCTAGAATTCTCTACAGATTTCCTATAGCTGCTTATTTATAGCTTTTTAACTTAATTTGGATGTTGTTCAGACCATTAGACATTATAATATGTTCTTCCTTATTTCAGGATTATTATTATTAATATTGTCTTAATAATTGTGAATTCTAAGGTATAAAGAATTGACAACACCTCTTCTTGCAGACCTTAAAACAAGTTTTAAAGTTACATATTTGTACATCTAATACATAATATCTACTTAGCCATTTTAATAGTTCATCTGGTAATGTTAACATTAAAAACTATGGAGGCCAATAATGCATTTGTTTCTATCATATATAAAATGTATTTCCACATAAATATATTTCAAAAATTTGACTTTTGTTTATTTTACTTACATGGACTATAGTTCTAATGAACAGTTTTGATGGTATTATTTTCTTTTAATAAAAATTATATTGTTTAAGTGCCTCAGGAATTATTTACTAATAAAGGATTTCATATAAAAGGTATAGATTTAATCATATAAATAGGAGCATTGCTTTTATTGATTCATGGAAGTCCTATCATTTGGCCTGCACACTGAGAGCTGTATCTACTTAGTGAATCTTGCATTTTTTTCCCCTGGCACAACTGAAAGATCATTTCTTTATATTAAACTAGTTTACTGAATTTTAATGACACGCAAAGTACCTTTTATGATCGTATTTGTCATAAGGGTCAGGCAGGTTCTGAAAATGATGCAATCATATTTTTTACTGTAAAATCAGAACTTCTTCAGTTTTATTTTGAAACAGATTTGAAGCCAATTTAGATGACTACTTATTATGTAATGTGCTTCTTGCTATTAATGATAGAAAATTTGAACCCATTAATTTAAAATTTCCAAACTAATTTCTACTGTAAATGAATAATTTTTCAAAAGCTCTGAAAATGGCTTATCTCTAAGTAGGTGGATTTGGGGTTAATGCTAGACTTTGTTTCCTTATTTGTCTCTAGGAGGTTTTGTCATTTCACCCTCTATTCTACCCAGTTTTTTTAAAAAATTTTAAATTTTGCCCAGAAACAACTTCTTCACATTTTTAACCCAAGTTCCTGTTTCATTTATGGATATTTGCTCTACCTTGGCTATAGTTAAAAAATACATGAGAAACTGTATTCTTGGTATAATGATATAGGAGTACTGCTTTGTGTTCTTCCATAGGGCTGTATCTTATAATATCAGGTTCATTTTCTTCAAGTTTAAATTCTTAAAGTTCTATCACCTATAACTTCATTAAAAAAAAATGGTTCAAATAAAACACCTTATGCAGTTAGTACAAAAACACGTTTATTATAGGCAGTTGGTTGAATTTTAATTTTGTGCCAACAAATTTTGTCTTGAGCCTAATCCCGCCTTGCTATCAGGTTATTCTGACTATTTTATTCACCTGATCAGAAATTACCTTTGCATGCATGTGTGCTTTTGCTTACCATTGAATAAAAAGTGAGATTGGCTCAGGGTGAGTCCATTGCTATTTTGAGACCCTCAGTTACCCTGTTTGTAAAATGTGAGTGCTGATTGTTCCAGAGTTGTGAGATTCTGTTGTTCAATATTGGTTATTCTTACATTCCATTATTTGTTCTTATGATGAGATGAATTTAGAATGCTACTATGTATCCTTATCCCCATTAGCAGAAATAGGGACTCTTTGACCTTGAGAAAACTAAATGTTCATGTTATTCCTTAGCACATTTAACTCCTTCATGTACTCTTATAAAAAAAGTAGTTTCTCTTATACTTCTATTAAAGAAGGTAACTAGGTCAGTTTTTCCCAAGTTCTGTACTGTAGAAGTAATGTCCATAATTTATTAAGTTGGCGGGAAAGTTTCCATGGTCAAATAAATTTAAGCAATGCAAGTTAAAGTTAAACTGATTCTTTGACATGGAATTTTTCATGCTGGATGTGGCTTGTGAATGTCTAAAGTGAAAAAATGAAGTGAAAGTGTTAGTTGGTCATTCGTGTCTGACTCTTTGTTACTCCATGAACTGTAGCCTTCCAGGCTCCTCTGTCCATGGAATTCTCCAGGCAGTAGTACAGGGTTGCCAGTTCCTCCTCCAGGGGATCTTCTCAACCTAGGGATCGAACCCAGGTCTCCTGCACTGTGGGCAGATTCTTTACTGTCTGAGCTACCAGTGAAGCCCCCTAAGAGAATATTTATTTGACCTTAGAATTTTTTTCTTTGAATAATTATGAACTTCTTAATCTCCTTGGACTAGTGTGTGGAATACTGATCTGGAGTCCTTCAGATTTTATGAGCTGGGAAATAAAAAGCAGCTTTGTAGGTTGTTGCCCAAGATGGGTTTTTAGACATTTCACTTAGGCTGTGAATCATTTGTAAGATAAGGAGTTTGTAAATAGATGCTCAGTTCAGTTCAGTCACTCAGTTGTGTCCGACTCTTTGCGACTCCTTGAATCGCAGCACCCCAGGCCTCCCTATCTATCACCAACTCCCAGAGTTTACTCAAACCCATGTCCATTGAGTCGGTGAAGCCATCCAGCCATCTCATCCTCTATCATCCCCTTCTCCTCCTGCCCCCATTCCCTCCCAGCATCAGGGTCTTTTCCAGTGAGTCAACTCTTCGCATGACTAGCAATGTACATTTTCATATTTTTAGAAATTATATCAGAAAAATGATAACCTCCTTATTTTTGTAATCTCTATTAACTGCATAACAGAGATAGACCAGTTAATAGTTTATTCTGCCTCTGATTACAACAGTAAGGGATTTTTTTTTGTTGGAGAGTATGGTTACTTTACATGATTTAACTCTTAAGAAGCTTAAGAATCTCTCACTTATTTCTGGCTTCTTTCTGTAACTCTTTATGCTTAGCTTATCAGTCTACCCACTCACCTACTTTTCTTGAGACTTATTTTCAGCCTTTTATTATCTGTTAAGGAGTTTCCTATGTAGTAAAGTTTTACTTCCTATTTAAACAGCCTCAGGAGGTCTTCTTTGACACTAAGATTATATGATTTGAAACCCAGCTTCATTTTAAACCCTCTCAGACCCTTAAAGGTACAGTGTGGTATAGTGAGCGCAGGCTCTGCAGTTGGTTGCCTGGTTTGGAGTTCCTACCCTGCTGTTTATCAGAACATATGTGACTTGGGGTAGGTTACAGATTCCTGTGCCTCATTCCCCATTTGTAAAATGCATGTAAACAACTACCTGTTCATAAACTGTAGAGGGAATTAAATGAGTTAATATACGTATATGGTATTTAGAAAGTGATTGGCACATAGGAAGCAGCACTATGTAAGTGTAAATTTATATTCTTACTACTTTTCATGATTTCACCTCTGCCTGTGTTTTATTCAGATAGAATTACCTAATCTTCAGCCTGCTTTTCATTCTAGCTTCTCATACCGTTTTCACAAATCATTTATGTTAAGTGTACCTAACCCAGTAAATATTTCTTAAGAGCCAATCATCTGAAGCATGTATTAGTTATAACATTAGATTTTTAGTGTCTAAAGGTCAATAAACTTGCTTTTTTTAAGGAATGGATATGAATGCTCCTAGATTCACCTGTCTTAGTTTCCCCTAAATTATACTGCTTTACACTATATAGTTCATTTCATATTTTCAGCCTGCCTCTCTGGTTTTGAGATCTTTGTAGAACCTCACTCTAATCACTTTGGTGCTTACCCACCTGGAAGAGCTTACCTTCCTCTACAAAC